GGCCGTGTGACGGCGCTGTGCTCCTTCATACACCCCATTATTCTGGCACCCCGCGACCCCCTATTCGTATGACGCACTGCAAGTGCCAAGTGTGAAGGTGATTTTGACCTTTTTATAGGCACTCACTTGAATCGGCACGAGGTTCAGCAATATGCCATCGCATTCATTTCAAGCGAGCTCGCAATTCATTCATGACCTGTATTCTCTTTTGTTATCACAACTACCCACCATTTTTCAAACTCACGGTGAGCTTTAATTTACTTTGAATCATTAGCGTGTACATGCTGAAGTGCCGCGTGTTCTGTGCTTTATTCTGGCATTACACCGTCACGCCGGCTTTGAGTAGTATTTCTCTCGTATAACGGTTTCACTTTTACGGCTGTATCGTCCTTGATGGAGCTTGTGATCAGCCCTCAAGTTTGTCGTGTCTCATCCGATCTGAGCGTGAAGATTTCTCTTTGAAAACATCTGCCGGCCTCTCGTTCAGCCCATTGTCCACTAAAAGGTGACGACTCAGCGTGTGTTCAATTGCCCCTGTCGGCTACATAGGGATGCTTTCTGTTGGATTCCACGTCGAGTGCCTGTCCTCTCTTCACGTCCTTTTATTTGTTTTCACTCTTCCTTCTGATGTAGTCTCAGATAAAAATGTGATAGTCTCGAGAGTTTGGCTTTTTGGCTAATCTTTGTCAATTCAAGAAAACATTTCTACTTTTAATGATCTGTGCAATGTTGATATTCTCAGGCTGCTGCAGTCTTTTCTGGTTCGCGGGCTGAACATTATTGCTCTGATAAACACACCTGTCATGATTTAAATACTTGTCACCTCTATGTCACGCAAGGCTAGTTTTGCGTTTGTGTAATGTATCATGCTGCTTTTTACACAGAACACGCATAAGGATTCTCGGAGACAGAAGACGTCATCCCAGCCGGACATTGCCTCGTATGCATGATTCATGACCACATTCGAGCGTTGCGCCAGCGCCTTCTCTTAGGCGGGACTCCCGTGCCATGGATGACCCGTGCTACTCTGCTGCTAAATACGTAGTTGTCTGGTAGAAACGGGGCTAAAATGACAAGCGCAATTTGTAGCGGAGCTGATCAATAGCCTTAGCTGCCGCTAAATGCTTGCACGAAAGGTAGGAAGTAGGAACGATCAAACCACGGCGTCATCAAGACCACCACTGCACCCACGCTGATGGCTCGGCGTCGCCACCACCACCGCCGTCACCGACCGAGTCTAGCCGACGCCGTATATACCGGACTCTCGGCCCGAGCCGCTGACACATATTTGGCCGTGTTTTACGGCGTGGACCAGCCGTCTGACGGCCATTACGACCACAGTGGCCGGCCGGAGCGGCCGCCGCGGCTGGGAAACTGAGACATCAGTGCGACGCGCGACGGCCGGCGGCCGGGCGGTTCCCGCTGGTTCTCAGCGCTGTTTTGTCGAGAGCCGGCGCTGCGGGATGGGGCACACCGGAACGGGTAGCGTGCCGTGGTCAGATGTTCGTGATATCACGGGATGGAGAGCCGCCGCTCCGCCGAGAGCTCCGGAATGAGCCTGAGTGCTGGTGCGCAGCTGGGAGAGCTTATAGCGTGTCTAGAGTCCAGTCCGCTGGGCAGTAACCTGTGGGTTGGGATGTAGAACAAACGACCTTTTCAAGAGAACGTAAGGTTCCTCAGATGCTGAAAGCCGGTAGTCGCGTGAGACACTTTGTCGGTCTACAAAATCTCCCACGGAATTTGTTTAGGGCTAATTTTCTTTGTTCAGCAGCAAATAGGTCCCCATGAGATTGCGACTTTTTTGTCCAAAAGTGAAATCCTGTAGGTGTAGCTCGCCGCGTCTCCAATAATCTTAATGTTCGAGCGGTGAGCGACATGACATCTTCATGACACTTTCACCTCGTTGGTTCCGAACCCGCCGGGCTGTCGGCTTGGCACGTCTGTTTACGACTTGCCGAACAGGTTTGAGGCTCAGCTGGCCCGGCTCCAGCTCAGTTTCGTCCTCCCCACCGCTCGCGTCCGTATCCAGGCGACTATCTGACGAACCCGGCCGACTGAACTCACGGAACCGGACGTCACGGGACGGGCACGGAGCGATCGCTCATGGTGCAATTCAATGATTTGTCGAGTGATTGGGTCGGTCGGAGGCGTATTTCGTAATTCGTACGCTGTGTGGTGTTCTGAAGATATACAACGTGATGTATGCGTTCTTACCCGGATTTTCCGAAGTCTGGCGGAACTCCCGACGATCGGTGTGATGTTTGGTGATTGCCCTAGTTCTGGTCACGGGTCTCTGAATGGACCAGTGACCAGGGACCAATGGCCGATGACCGATGACATCTGACCAGTGACCGGTTAGCAGACTCGTACTGTCGGCGGAAAGATGAGAGCTATCTTCGCTTGTCATCATGATACTTTCACATGGCACGTGCCGGTAGCATTAGGTGTGACTTACCCGGCGATCAGCATATCCGACCTGCCAACTTTTCTGTCACCTCCGGGTCAGGCTCTGTCATTGCAACTTGACCTGTCTCACTACTGTTGCGACTCATAACTCCGCTCGGGGTGTGACAGTACGCCCACAATGTCGCTACATCCGGTCTTGCAAGACATGCTCGCCGACCCGTGCCGACCCGGAGTCAACCCATGCCTGTGAAAGGAGGATCCTACGACCCTCGCCCGTCGCTGCTAGGAACCGTTGCACGATTGCCGCCGGAAGACGACGCCTGTCGCAATGCTCATTAGAGATGGGTTTAGTGCTCTAATAGCTTCCACATGTTGAGAGTGCACGATGAGTATAATGGAAAACGCACGCGTCATGTTAAGCGGAGAATGTAAAGGCGTTTTAGCGCATTAAAAACAGACGTGCTGCATTAAAACGTGGGAATTACAGGCATTACAATGCACTTGGTTATACAGCCAGGTGTTGTGAACAAAGTTTAATGTGATAAGTTCGCCCTTTCGATGTGAGGAGGAAGGAGAACGAATTTGTACAACAAGCAAACTAGCATGAGTAACGAAGTGAAGGCGAATTATGCCATTTCTAACACGGGTAAAAAATAGTTAATTATCAATAAAACATCTGCGTGGTGTTTGTTTATTTATCAGTGAAAGGGTGTAGTGTATACGTATTTCGGTGACAGTAGTTACAACCAAACAGTGAACACATCTACCTATGCTTTGTGGGGACAGCTTTATTGGTGGTCGTCCAGCCATTGGATACAACTTTCTACTCTTCCTGATAGCAGAGACTTAATGATAAAGCAGACACTTAAAGCCGCTTGGGAATAGACAACTAAACACGCGAGCTGTGCTATAAATTCGAGGCTTTAGGAGACAGAGATGCGCTACAGACCGCTGCCACAGGTCTGACTGGTGTGCGGTTTGTAGAGGAGGACCTCCAGCCCGTGCCGACAGCGAGAAACCTCGGTGTGGTTTTCGACAATCGACTGAGCTTTGAACCCCATATAGACGCCATTGTCACCAAGTGCTTTGGAATCCTAATAGACCTTATGCACGCGAAGCATCTGCTCCCGACATCGGTGCTACCAACTATTATCAACGCACTGGTCATGTCGCATATTCGGTACTGTAGCCAGGTGTTTGGCTGTGTCAACAAAACCGCTGTCAAAAGGTTGCAGAAAGTGCAGAACTTCGCCGCTAGAATTATATCAGGTCGTCACAGATCCCAGCACGTATCTGACTTGCTTCGAAGCTTGAACTGGCTTCCAGTCACTGAGCTGATAGAATTTAATGATTTGTGCCTGTTGCACAAAATCATCATGACCAGTGAACCCGCTGTGCTCAGACAGAAGGTGCGCTACAACCGAGCTGTCATTGGCCGTACAACCAGACATTCAGACTTCCTGTACCTACCTCGCTTCCGCACCAACGCTGGCAAAAGTACTTTTAGACACCGGGCGTGTTCGCTATATAATGCTGTCATTGGCTCAGACGTGCAGGGGGCGTCGTATGCACGATTCAAGAGGACGATGAAGCTTCGGCTTACCAGTAAGTTTTTTTTTTGTTCATTTAACACTGGTCTCTTACTGACATGTGCTACTGTGCTACAGCCTGTGTGTCACAGACTGCTTTTTACTTTTTCTTCATTCGCTTTTATGTATATTTTTAGCGGGTTTATCCGAATTGTATGACGAGGGCTCATAATAGTCACTTCTTGTGGACGAGTGCCGATGCTGTCAAATAAATAAATAAATAAATAAACATTATGTGCCTTGACCAAGATGTAACAGAGGACAATTACTCAAGATATCATAAGTGTGGGACGCCTTTCTCTTCCCTGACGAATGTTGGACTTTTCTCGGTCGGTTTTTGAAAATTTGTTCGGTTGATCTGACCTGTGTTTCGCTTCATTTGCTTCTTTTTTTCCCAGTATGTTCTTAACTTCTTAGGATCTTGGCATCTCTAGCGAACTCTTGACACTCTGCCTGTCCGATGCCAAACTCAGCAGCAGCACTATGCGGTAAAGGTAGCCCCGCTCTAAGCACATTGGTGCCTCCCCCAGCCCACCTGACTTTCGATTCCTGCCCAATGCTCAGATCTTCACTGTTATCCATGAGCGACGTCTGTCTCACACCCAGTGCTCGTCTCTCTGCAACTGTAATCGGGCTACACCCGACACCTCAGCGTCCCCTGCAGTTGACGCCCGTCCCGTATGCATACAGTACACCTCAGTGCCCTCTGCAGTCCCGTCCCGTATGCCTACAGCACACCTCAGCGCCCTTTGCAGATGACACACGTCCCCTGACCCTCAGAGCCCTATCTGTACCTGAGGCTCGTCACCTGGCACCTCAGCGCCCTCTGTGACCGCCGCCCGTCCCTTACCAGATACTTCTGCGCTGTCTGTGAGTGATGGCCGCCTCGTGCCCGGTGTCCCGGCGCCGTGACTGACGTGCACGCCCTCTGTTCCTCTCTCTGTATGCCGCCCCGTGCCTGATACCTCAGCACTGTGCCTGATGTGCGCGCCCTCTGGCCGACAGGATTCGGAGCGTTCAGGGCGCCGTCTCTCCTCGCTGGTTCACGGCGTGCAGAGCCTGAAGCGCCGCCTGGCGGCCCGCCAGCTGACCGCCTCCGACTCGGAGAGGCGCCTCCACAGAGCCTCGGTGGACAGCAGGAGCAGCGACGGCTCGGAGCTGTCCTCGTCCGGTGAGCGACCGACGCCGGCCCAACCCCCGACCCCGACCCCGCCCGCTCCACCCCCTCTAATAGCCGTCGGTATCGACCTGAGCTCTCGGCTGGTGGTACCCTGGCGTGCCTTACATGTCCCCTTGCATGTTCTGCGTGTGACTAGGGCTAGGAGAAAAAGATATAAAATTGTAGTTTTAAACGTCACCATAACATTGACAATTTCACGATCAGTGGGAATATGAAGATACCCGAGGCTAAAGCTGGCGGATGTTTTTGTGTTTAATCAACACCTGTCGTAAATTGAGAAAAGTGTGATGAAAACGCTAGTCCAGGATCACTCGTTCGTCGCGTTATCGTCATCCATCTCTGACGCACGTCTCTCGCTCTGTCCGCAGGGAGTGAGCCGGTGATGGTGGGCAGCAACCGCAGCTCGCTGCTCTCCAACATGTCCTCCTCCTCTGAGGACTCTGACGTCGTCTCATACAGGGGGCCGACGGTGGGCCGCGCGCGCGCCCGCGTCGACTACGTGCCCAGCCCTTACGACCGCGAGGCGCTGCGCTTCAGTCGCGGTGACATCATCGACATCATCAGCATGAATCCGAGCGGCCTGTGGCGCGGCGCGCTGCACGGACGCGTCGGCACGTTCAAGTTCATCAATGTGGAGGTGCTGCCGGACGAGGTGGCGCGCCTGCGTGAGGCCGGTGGCGTGCTGCCGCCGCTCAAGACGCGGCCCGTATCCGTCAAACACCTGCTCGAGGAGCTCGGCGTTTCGGTGAGTACATACGGTGTTTTTGGTGAGTTGAGTATAGGCATTTAAACTTGAAGCAATTAATGTTCATTTACAGTGGTCAGCTCGATGATAACGTAACGTGCTATCTACCATTGCCATGATTAAAGACTGATTAGAAAAGTTGCTGTAGTTTTCAGTAAAATGTATTCGCAGGAACTTAAAAAGCTGTTACAGTAAACGATAAGTGTTTTGTGCAGACTCACTACGACGGCTGTCTTTATTGGCGGCAGTTCGATGGTGCTTGCTCGTTATTTATTTGAATTATAACTTTCACTGTACAACAATCTCCCTAACTATGCAATTTAGCGGCTCATTTCAATTTAGGCCATAAGTAATTGTGGATCGGCTATGGATCTATCCGCGGTGCCCGGAGCGCTCACCTATATCCTTCCGGAATAGTGCCGATGTCCGTCCACGAACTTCATGCGTTATTAACTCATAGTCTGTGCTATTGCATCACAGATGCTAACAGCTACCATTGAAGCTGCGGTTTGACTAGAGGTTATCGCTGTTACATTGCTCCACATTCTGTTCATGTGCTGTCACGACTCTCTTTGATCCACACCTGAACAGTACTCCAGTACCTCCTCGTAAAAATGAGCACATTCAGCGACATATGTTCCGCGAACAGAACCAACCGGCCTCGCGAACCGACAGTTACACGTCTGCCCTTGCTTTAACCGTGCGAAAAGCCCGGAATGGTCCAGAGAAAGCCACACAGTGTCGATAATTGTCGGCGTCGTAGCGCCGATCTCCGAGTCAGCCGCTCCTGCGGCAGGGAGCTGCCCACAGAACTGCCTTAACCTTCGTCAGTAATTATGACTCTGCACGTACGCTAATGGCGTGAACGCAGCCAGACAGACGCAGTTGATACTTCCGATGCTATTACCCTGAAACTAGGGCAAGATGAGCGGCCTGCACTTCGGCGACGGAACAATTGTACCTATTTTTGCGAAACCTCTACTCGAACCACGCATGGATGTAGGTAAAGAGACAGCAGGAGAACACGTGTGAGGTCTATGGAGCTAATTTATATGCTAGCTGTTGAATTGACCAATTTTTAAGCTTAATAACATTATTTCCTAACATGAAAAATGAAAATTGTCATCAGGAGGCTCACACTTTTTCAAAAGAATGTTTGAGCAGCCTGCAGAGCTTAACTCATTCAAAAGCATAGGATGAAAACCAAGGGCGAAAAGAATTAAAACCAAACGGATCTCCAAAATATAAACATTTGAAAAAGAAGGACTGTTTCGTTTCGTCATATCTTGCTATCGTTTTTGGCACTGTCAAGTTCGTAACTTCTTTTGTTTTTGTTTTTTTGTTTAATTTGAATGGAATTAATTTTTAGTCCCCGCACTTTAGCTGCTTTCTAAGTTATTGTTTTTCATTTAATTATGATATACATTTTCAATTATATACCTACCTTTCAAAAGCCCTGATATTGTTCACGGCCATCGCCAATATGGCGCGCTAATTTAGGTATTCCAACGCTAGCCATGCCGTATTCTTACTGAGAAGCACCCGCGGACCCTGAGGCGGCTGTGTGGGGCCGCGCCTCCGGCTGCGGCGGCCGACCTTGCGGCGTCTCCCCGCCGCCGGGGGCCAGTATATAACCGGCGGCCCGGCGGCAGAGGACACACTCGACTGCCGTCCGCTGCTCTCACCCGCCGTCCCTGCAGTCTGCCATGAGGTGCCTGCTGTGTGTTCCGCTGGTGCTGGCCGCCGCCTGCGCCGCCCCGCAGGGGGGCTCGTACGGCGCCCCGCCGCCGCTCACCGCCGCCGAAGAGGAGCGAGCGGCCGCTCTGTCCGGCCGACCACCTCTGCTGGGGGCCGGCGGCAGGCTCGGACCCCTCGGTGGTCCCCTGGGCCCCCTGGGCGGCCCTCGGGCCGGCCGGTTCGGAGGGCCGATAGGTGGCCGGCTGCCCAACGGAGGCAACCCGCCCCAGCTGCGACCGGACGGCCTGCTGGACGGGCCCGGCGTGCCGTACAGCTTCAACTGGGCCGTGGACGAGCCCGACTACGGCAACCAGTACGGCCACCAGGAGGAGAGCGACGGCGTGGTGACGCAGGGCGAGTACCGCGTGCTGCTGCCCGACGGACGCACCCAGATCGTCACCTACTCGGTGGAGGGCGACAGCGGCTTCCAGGCGACGGTGACGTACGAGGGCGAGGCGCAGTTTCCGCCTCCGGGCGCGCCCGGCGGCCTCGGCGGTCCGGCGCCGTTCGGTTCGGCCCTCGGCGGAGGACCCCTGAGCAGAGTACCTCTCCCGGGAGCAGCCGTGGAAGATGGTCCCCTGGGAGGCGTTCCCATCAGAAGAGGTCGCCTCGGCCGTGGACCATTCGGCAGGGGTCCTCTGGGTCGTGGACCGCTCGGCCGGGGTCCCCTGGGCCGCGGTCCCCTGGGCCCCAGTCCCGCTGGTCCGTTCGGAGGTCGTCCTCTGCGAGGCCCCCTGTCTGGGGCTGCCTCGGGCTACGCTCAGGGACGAGGCTCATACCTCGGAGGGCCGGGCCGCCTGTTCGACGCCGCCGGCCGTCCCATTCCTGATGTCCTGGATGATGGAGCGGACGCGCCGGTAAATACGCCGAGCACCAGCTATGGCTTCTAATCCAGGCCAGGAGGTTAGCTCTTGGAGGGCCAGTCAGCAGTTCTTATTGGGCGGCAGACGTCAACAGCAGCTGCGTCAGCATGTGTTGAACAGACGGGAAGTCGTACTATTCACGACATCACAGTGAACAGTACAGACAGCCGTTCTGACTCTCGCGTGCATTTTTTGGAAGATGGTTGCCGGTAGCGTAGAAAGTTTACGGCATATTGGTGGCCGTTGGAAAATATTTATGCAGCAATCGATGTGGAATACACTGAACCGTTTTTATTGAGTCTAGATTTCATCACTTATATGTATTGTTTCTTGGAATACTCGCCTAGTAGGTACTCTTAGATCCGTGATCTTTTTATTGATATTCACTACAGGCACACAGGTATAGGCATATCACTGACCTTATCTGTTTACGTTATTTTTGACAGTTGCCGCACGCTATTGATAAATTTAACATCTGAGTAATGAAACAACATAATTCTCTTAACCAATTTTGCATTGAATCTTCTTTTCTCCCGTATCGTTGTACTATGTATATTTCTGCGCACCATACGAGTAAGCATACAGATAAGTTACCCTCTCCACGCGAAGCACGAATAAATCCTGATCAAGTGGTGCTTTGACACGTGCGTTCGCACGTTTTCTAATTAAGGCAGCCCCTGTCTGTGTGCCCTTTGACCCTGCGGTGATCCGATCTGCCTATGACGACACATTAAGATGCATGTGGCGAGCAGCCGGCAGGTAATCGCTGCACAAACGGCCGCACCGACCGGCGTGTGACGTACTTGAGAGATATTACCCCGACCGGCTGCCACTGAGAGAGCGGCACTGATCAGGCGCTGGGAACGCTACCGCACGTGGGCTGACCCTGCCCCGTATCGTTCTGACCTTGACCCGAGTCCTGCGGCTCGCGCAGGGCGTGACCCGGCCGGTTCCGGGCGCGTCTGTGGTGCCGTTTCACTGGCGGCGACGGCAGGGGCGGGGCCGCTGGATCAGACGGTAGGCCGCAAACGGCGGCCGTCTGATGGCGCTGTCGGTTACATTAAGGAGATCTACTGAACTAGCTGATACGTGCCAGTTCGGTGAAACGTGCCACAACAGTGTTTTTCTTACCGTTAGCCGGTAGGCTCCCACACGTGCTCAGTGCTGACGAAAGATCATCTTGGGCACTTATTTTAGCACATATTAGCAGAAGCAAAGAGAAAAAGGCCGATCAACGAGAGTTATAAGGCCAATGGTTTTCTCCTGTGCGAAACTGGTAAAGAAACCACGCAATTGCATAGTTATTATGCACTACGACCCGTCTGTGTGTATATTAGATATTGATAAGTATAGTTATCCCGGGTAGGCGTTTCAGTATTACTTCAACTTTCGCAAATACAAAAAAAAAACATACAATACAAAGGAATCAAATTTAGCGCAAATATATTTTGTGGATTTTAACACTACGAAACCTATGACCCTCGCCCGCATTGGCTTTTCAATTTTTCAATGCCGTCTTTTTTAAGCTCATTATTTTTGAAGAAAAAAAACTGAGGAAGGGGCTCCGTTCGACCCCCTTCGAAGTTTGACCTGTTATATTTAACAACTCATCATGCACATTGCACGATGCACACGAAACGTACTCATATGCGTATGGTTCCGACTAAGGTTGCACCACTAAAAATAAATTTGATATAAGCAATATGTACATATTCTGTACGAATGCCGTTACCCATTTAAATCGGATATAAAATAAATCTTAATTACCCATTAGCAAGACATCAAATAGATAAAGACAACCAATTATTATCTGTCAAACCACAAATAAAGGCAGACTTTTGGAGCAGTCAAGGCACTCTTGCTGTAAAATTCTAATTATTCATCGATTAAAAAGTTACTCCGTATTAGATGTTTAAAGATGACAAGTGTGTTGACCGCTTAGTCTTCTGCACCATAATTTCGGAAATTTTAGGCGAAGGACAGTGCGACTATTGCCTGCAAAATGCTACAAAATCTTGCACCAGACCTTCGTCATTGCTAGTGGCCACGCAATTGAAGTGTTGGATATGATCAATGAGAAAGGCTTCTCAGCGTAGCCCGTCTTCGACCGCAGTGACCCGACCTCGGCCGACCTTGCGGTGTCTCCCCGCCGCCGGGGGCCGGTATATAACCGGCGGCCCGGCGGCAGAGGGCACACTCGACTGCCGTCCGCTGCTCTCTCACCCGCCGTCCCTGCAGTCTGCCATGAGGTGCCTGCTGTGTGTTCCGCTGGTGCTGGCCGCCGCCTGCGCCGCCCCGCAGGGGGGCTCGTACGGCGCTCCGCCGCCGCTCACCGCCGCCGAAGAGGAGCGAGCGGCCGCTCTGTCCGGCCGACCGCCTCTGCTGGGGGCCGGCGGCAGGCTCGGTCCCCTCGGTGGTCCCCTGGGCCCCCTGGGCGGCCCTCGGGTCGGCCGGTTCGGAGGGCCGCTCGGTGGCCGGCTGCCCAACGGAGGCAACCCGCCCCAGCTGCGACCGGACGGCCTGCTGGACGGGCCCGGCGTGCCGTACAGCTTCAACTGGGCCGTGGACGAGCCCGACTACGGCAACCAGTACGGCCACCAGGAGGAGAGCGACGGCGTGGTGACGCAGGGCGAGTACCGCGTGCTGCTGCCCGACGGACGCACCCAGATCGTCACCTACTCGGTGGAGGGCGACAGCGGCTTCCAGGCGACGGTGACGTACGAGGGCGAGGCGCAGTTTCCGCCTCCGGGCGCGCCCGGCGGCCTCGGCGGTCCGGCGCCGTTCGGCTCGGCTCTCGGCGGAGGACCCCTGAGCAGCGCGCCCCTCCCGGGAGCAGCCTTGGGCCGTGGTCCGCTCGGACGGGGCCCTCTGGGTCGCGGGCCTTTCGGAGCTCGGCCCCTGCTCGGCGCCGCCGGACGTCCCATTCCTGGCGTTGTTGGTGGCGATGTTGACGCCCCGGTAGAACCTAGCACCAGCTACGGTATCTGATTCTTGCCACAGCATATGACTGTAATGAAACGGCAGCCGCCAGTTTCTATTGGTCGAGAGTCGTCAGCGTTAACAGATGGAGGACGACAGTCGTACTGCTCATCCCGCATGAACAGTACTGACTGGAATCCAGCCGCTGTATATGTGTGTGATTGTTTATTGTATTTATTTACTTTATTGTGGTGTGGTGACTGGTATAATATATGGACAACGGATAACATACAATGCTTAACACATCATGCGGCGCATTGCCTATTTGAGGATGTCGAGAAACTGATATTTAAAATAATTGTTGGCTGTCATTGCAGTCGTGGATATGTATTGGCAATAGGCATTTAACCAAACGTTAATAGATATAGAGGTCACTTTATGTTAATTAATACCAAACCACTCCCAACTTTAATCAATTTACGTCGTGGCCCTATTCTTACGATTATCATGTGTCTTGCGAAATAGCGAGGTTGCTAAGATACCGTAAATGCTTTGTTCGTTCTACCTACTTGCGTCTATCCTGTTCTTCAATTATACACGAAGTAATGTCCTTTATAGATACCTAGCCATTTTTGGAACGTTCAAAACAAATTAGGTACTGTATTCAAACTACTGCTGTAACCGACATGTCATTTGGAATTTGCATACTTTCAGTAGCATCGTTCGTGGCTCGTGAGTATTTATTCTGGAAGGAAGGTGCCAATAGTCTAAAATAAATTTACCCAAGCAGTTATTTATCTTGAAAAGCATTACCTGCGGTCCTTCACAATTGGTCTTTTTTACCGTCATTATCATTTGATAAAGGAAACAACAACAAGTATAAATGCAAACATAATCCATTTCCACGCATGGCATAAACCCTCGGATGACAATTCGCAGGTCGTACCTCAATGCGTATCGCGATTCTCTGACTAGTTACATTGCTGTCGCTAGATGACGCTAGTCACTAGCGCCTGATGTTATACTGTACCGCACGGCGCAGAGCGTGCTTTGGCTCTTGCCGCTAGAGGGCACCAGTGACTAGTGCCTGAAGTTATGCTGTGCCGCATAGCACGGAGCGAGCTTTGGCTCTTATCGCTAGATGGCACCAGTGACTAGCGCCTGAAGTTATGCTGTGCCGCATAGCACGGAGCGAGCTTCGGCTCTTGTCGCTAGATGGCACCAGTGACTAGCGCCTGAAGTTATGCTGCGCCACACAGCACGGAGCGAGCTTTGGCTCACGTCGCGCTAGATGGTAGTAGAGACCAACGCCTGAGTTTATGCTCTATTGTTGAGTTCCAGATGCCAGATGCTTCAGACCGGTGGATTCAAGGTGATAATTTTCAAACATTAATTGTGACGTTCTAGGAGTGTGCATCTCTGATAAGTAAAATAATTGCTTAATCCGTTAATCGTTACATTTAGGATTAGTATTGCTAATTGTAAAATGCCATCAAAATAACTATTTACTTAGGTGCAGCTGAAAACCAAACAAACGTAAAGCAATACCTATCTTACCTATGACTATTTTTCTCCCTACGATGGAAAATCGCAATGCAATGTCTTCGAATTCCATTTCCGTAACTACGTATCTCCCTTTCTTCGAGAATGTGCAGACGGCTACCGAATACCGATACCTCAGTTTTGTTCGGTAGATAGGTATTCAGTTTTTGACGAAGAACGATTTTTTTTTATAACCACCGCACCGTGGGGACTTATGCCATCCTAGCACGCATTAAGTGGCAAGTTAAAGTATTTCGATTTCCACTTTTTTGTTATTCATTCCACGTAGAATTGTCCAGCGCATCCGAATCACACCTTAAATCGTCTGTAAAATGATTGTTTATGCCTCAAAAAAACCTCTCAAAGTGTAGCTTCGTCCTGACCAGCGTCGTGCTACCTGCATACAGCGAAAAAGCACACTACAATAAAACGCCCTCTCACTCGTTTCCCTGAACAGCAGGTTATAGTTGCGACATGTTTTCATTATCTTTGACTTATAAGGAAGATGATGGTATGCACGAAAATTTCCAAAATTCATCCAAATGTATAATTTTTGACCAAAAAGCTAAAGATGTTAAAATGGTTCTTGGTTCAGAGAGTTGACAAGCAAACTATTGCCTTACAAAGTTTGATACGCGGTGTTACGCGTGGAAATGTATATCACCAGTATAACGCCTTTTGGGGCGACTAACGGAGCGAGCGAGAGGGTGAGCCTTGCACGTGCGAAATTTCGAGGGGTACCTCCAACTGACTTGTGCACGGCACCCTACTAACCGGTCTCTAGCGATGTGCCAAATTTGAGCACAATCGGCCCAGCCGTTCTCGAGATCTGGAAGCGGCACCCTGCACGTGCGCACGTGCAAAATGGGTCCCAACTGACTTGTGCACGGCACCCTACTAACTGCTCCGTAACCGTGTACCAAATTTGAGCGCAATCGGTCCAGCCGTTCTCGAGATCTGGAAACGACCCCTGCACGTGCGCACGTGCAGCAGCACCCCAACTCTGGCACATGGATATGCATTGCCTAGTGGGTGCCTACCTACATGCCAACTCTCAGCGCAATCGGCCAAGTAGTTACCGAGATATTGCAACAATTGCAAAAGTGACACCTCTTCGTTTTGCACGTGGCACGTGCATAAGGGGTCACCCACATGCATCGGGAATAGTGCAATACTTGGTAGAAGGAATGAAGCTACCCTACAAAAATTACCGCATGTAAATCGGTCAAGTGGTTGCTGAGATATAAGCCTCACAAAAGCGTGACCACGGCCGGCCGGCCGGCCGCTCATACTCAGAAATTTCTGTTAATCTAAGGAAAGACTACGCTCGCTTCGCTCGCTCCGTAAAAATGTTCTCCAATAATTTCTGCATCGGGGGCAGCTCTCATTTTTTGCCGAAATTTGCCGAAACCAGTCACTATGAGACGTCAAAGCAGACGGTGCCGCGTGGTTTCTTACGCCCCGCCGGGCCGCGCGCGGCGGGTTACCCGACCGCAGCACACCGCCTGGGGGTTTCCGGTCAGTATAGGAGTTGGGAGGAGGGAGGAAGGGGGTGATACCATGTTGACATTATTTTTCTATCGCCAAATGTTCTTTTTGAACAAAACAACAACACCCTTGCAACGCTGCGTCCATTTTATTGGCTATCGCCGCCAATGTTCACCTTATTGAACTTCAGTACAGAGCTTTGATATAGGTAAATCGAAAAATGCTATAACTTTGTAAAGTGAGGTTGGAGGTTTTTGGGGTGCTAATCACGAATTTCAAGCTAGTTTTGATCAAGGATGATGTTTTCATGCTAGGCCGGCTCAGGTCAGGCCCGACCAGTAGGTGTCTTGCCGGCTATCCATAGAAGGTAGGCGTCGATTACCTTTGACTGCTTCGTAGCATGTTCCGTTAGGCACCAAAACTACTTAAATCTTCAAATGGGTGTTAAGTTCGAAATAAGCTTCAAGCACTTATCTAGAAAAATCGTATAACTTGAAAAAGTCAACTAAGGTCATCTAAGGTAAATGACCTTGATTTGACCTTAACGTGACCTTAAAATGCAAATAACAAACAGCATTTCATTACCTTGGAGAGTTAACAACCACAGCAAGACTGAAAACGCGCCGATAATGTGCGCTGATAAGCGCCAAATCGATACCAGCCTGACATGGTCTGGTGAAACAGGTCCCAGGTCAATTTTTTTAAGGTCAAGGTCATGAAATTTTAAGTGTGTGAGTAACATTGATCGAATCGAATGTATAGAAAGTTTCGTCGTGATCCGCCACGTTTTGCTTGAGTTAGTATGCGAAAAGTCGAGGACAGAAATCTGTGCGACCCCCTCCACCTTTAAGTGCAAGGACTAACAAAGTGCAAAGTTTAAGCCCGAAATGCCTTGTGGTGATTGGGCTAGACATGAACAAATATCTACTTCTAAAACGATTGTAGTTTCGTTCTACTTTTTTAACGCTTCCACGCCCACGATGCATTGCTAGCCGAAAACGCTTCAGTGCTAAGTCCGTGGGAGGGGGCGGGGGAGGGATGGGGTCAAGCAGGAGAGCCAACCATGTTGTCAGGGATCATACACCCTAAGCCTAACCATTTGAAGGTGAAATAAAATTAGTTAACCCGCGCGGGGCTGGGGTCTCCAGCCGAACGCGCGGGGCTGGGGGGGGGGGTAAATTTTACCCCCCCTGTTATCTCCCGAACTAAGGGTCCGATTTGGAAAATTCAAACGCCAATCGAAAGCTCTCATCACGAACTACTAAAAACATGTACTTGATTTAAAGTTTGAGGTCAAGGTCAAGGTCAGGTCAAGGGTACAAATTGCAAGTTTCTACAGTATCGGCCTTGCACCGTAGTTGCCGAAGAATGGAGTCATGGACTGAGACTGATCGCCCAAAACGTGTTCTTAGGCTACCAAGACAATATTAGTTGCATACAATATCATTCAGAGGTCAAGGTCAAGGTCAGGTCAGGTCAGGTCACCAAAAAACAAAATATAGAAAAGGGCATGTGCGACACATGTTTTATGGGTCATTTTACTCATAGAATTCAATAGGCACACTCAATAAGTGATATGGACCACCTCTGGATGAATTTCAGGTCGAGGTCAGGTCAAGGTCAGGTCAAGTGAGGTCAAATTTTGAAGTTGGTTGTTAAGGCCTAAAAAGGTGTCTATCTGATGCAGTTTTTCACGGCGAATCGAATGGTGCTATTTTTGTTTCCGTACGAGGTCTAGAACTTCCAAAAAGTCATTTTTCAAAAATTTTGTGTGTCGTGACGTCATAAAATTTTGAATAACTCCCACATTTTTGAACCGATTCTTCTAAAATTTGGTATGTAGGTGCGCATAGACCATTTCTCTGACATATATTCCGGTTTTTTCGATAAACTCAAAATTTTGGATTTTATAATGATTTTCCCAAAAAAATCAGTTTTTTGAAAAAATTTAGGCCAAAATCCAAAATTTTCAAAAAACCGAGATAGCCATTTGATAGACAAAGTAAAATTACGTATAACCTTTTTTGTTACGTCTTGATTCCTTTAAAAATGAAGATGTTAGCGGCGTTTGAACTTTTGCCGTTTTTGAGGTGAAAATGGCGAACATGACGTCACTAAAACGTCAATTTCTCAAAAATTTTCCGACGGATTTCAATCAAATTTTCAGGGAAGGTGTCAAATTGATGTAAGAAAAGGTACTGAAAGTTTGGCGGCGCTGCGCGCCGCCGTTTTTGAGATATCGCAAAAATTCGCGAGGGGGGGTAAAATTTACCCCCCCCCCCAGCCCCGCGCGGGTTAAGGTAGCGGAGGATGCGATATAAATAAATTCGTGCTAGGATCGATAAAAACCCCACAGTGCACCGTTCGAAGTTTTTATTCATGTGAAGTCTTGTCTCGTTCCTAAATCAAAGCAAACATTCCTAAAAGTACGCAATTTATGATCCATTATTGTTTATTTCACCAATTTATAAATACATATACATGGTGTACACAATCGCCCAAGCTCCAAGTCAGTACTGCTCATTTATCATGAACAGTGCGACTGTCCACCTGTTCGCAACCCGCTGACGCATGTCAGCCAATTGGAACTGGCGGCTGCCGTTTTCTCGCGATAAACCACGGCAGCATCAATCAGATACCGTAGCTGGTGCTGGGTTCTACCGGGACGTCAACATCGCCACCAACAACGCCAGGAATGGGACGTCCGGCGGCGCCCAGCAGGGGCCGAGCTCCGAAGGGCCCGCGACCCAGAGGGCCCCGTCCGAGCGGACCACGGCCCAAGGCTGCTCCCGGGCGGGGCGCACTGCTCAGGGGTCCTCCGCCGAGAGCCGAGCCGAACGGCGCCGGACCGCCGAGGCCGCCGGGCGCGCCCGGAGGCGGAAACTGCGCCTCGCCCTCGTACGTCACCGTCGCCTGGAAGCCGCTGTCGCCCTCCACCGAGTAGGTGACGATCTGGGTGCGTCCGTCGGGCAGCAGCACGCGGTACTCGCCCTGCGTCACCACGCCGTCGCTCTCCTCCTGGTGGCCGTACTGGTTGCCGTAGTCGGGCTCGTCCACGGCCCAGTTGAAGCTGTACGGCACGCCGGGCCCGTCCAGCAGGCCGTCCGGTCGCAGCTGGGGCGGGTTGCCTCCGTTGGGCAGCCGGCCACCGAGCGGCCCTCCGAACCGGCCGGCCCGAGGGCCGCCCAGGGGGCCCAGGGGACCACCGAGGGGTCCGAGTCTGCCGCCGGCCCCCAGCAGAGGCGGTCGGCCGGACAGAGCGGCCGCTCGCTCCTCTTCGGCGGCGGTGAGCGGCGGCGGAGCGCCGTACGAGCCCCCCTGCGGGGCGGCGCAGGCGGCGGCCAGCACCAGCGGAACACACAGCAGGCACCTCATGGCAGACTGCAGGGACGGCGGGTGAGAGCAGCGGACGGCAGTCGAGTGTGCCCTCTGCCGCCGGGCCGCCGGTTATACAGTCGTCCTCAAAATTATTCATACCCTTGTTAATTTACGACATATTTTGCTTTTTTGATGAAAAGAAAACATTTTGTCGAGCTTATTTATGATTTATATATGACCAACAGGGGAATGAATAACAGCAACATACAACTGATAAAATATTCAGTTTCAGGTCTGTTTTATTCATGAATCTTTGAAAACACTCATGTTCAAAAATATTCATACCCTTGGTTTTCAGAGTTCAGTGTCTTTCTTCAGTAGTCGATAACATATCCTTTGTTCCTTATTACTGCTTCTAGTCGGTTCCTGTAGGTGCTCACAAGCTTGCCACACGTTTTCTGTGGGATTTTGGCCCATTCTTCCCTGGCGAAAGCCTCCAGCTGGGTCAGGCTAGTCGGTTTCCTGGCCGTCACTCGGGTCTTCAAGTCCCGCCATAGATTCTCTATGGGATTCAGATCAGGACTCTGACTAGGCCACTCGAGGACGCTGATATCATTGTCCTCGAACCATTCCTTGACTACTTTAGCCGTGTGTTTGGGATCATTGTCTTGCTGGAACTTCCAGTTGTTGCCGAGTTCCAGCTTCTCTACAGATTCCTTCAGGTTTTCGTCCAGAATTTGGATATAGTCCTCCTTTCTCATGGTGCCCTGGATCCTGACGAGGTTTCCTGTGCCGCGGGAAGAGAAGCATCCCCACAACATAATGTTTCTGCCACCGTGCTTGACGGTTGGCACCGTGTTCTTGGGATTGTAGGCCTCTCCTTTACTCCTCCAAACATATGCAGCATCCATGTGCCCAAACAACTCCAACTTCGTCTCATCAGACCACAGGATGTTTGCCCAAAAGTTGGAATCTTGCTGCATATTGCCTCTAGCAAAGGCCAGGCGAGCCTTGCAAAGGCCAGGCGAGCCTTGCTAGAGGCAATATGCAGCAAGATTCCAACTTCTGGGCAAACATCCTGTGGTCTGATACGAAGTTGGAGTTGTTTGGGCACATGGATGCTGCATATGTTTGGAGGAGTAAAGGAGAGGCCTACAATCCCAAGAACACGGTGCCAACCGTCAAGCACGGTGGCAGAAACATCATGTTGTGGGGATGCTTCTCTTCCCGTGGCACAGGAAACCTCGTCAGGATCCAGGGCACCATGAGAAAGGAGGACTATATCCAAATTCTGGACGAAAACCTGAAGGAATCTGCAGAGAAGCTGGAACTCGGCAACAACTGGAAGTTCCAGCAAGACAATGATCCCAAACACACGGCTAAAGTAGTCAAGGAATGGTTCGAGGACAATGATATCAGCGTCCTCGAGTGGCCTAGTCAGAGTCCTGATCTGAATCCCATAGAGAATCTATGGCGGGACTTGAAGACCCGAGTGACGGCCAGGAAACCGACTAGCCTGAACCAGCTGGAGGCTTTCGCCAGGGAAGAATGGGCCAAAATCCCACAGAAAACGTGTGGCAAGCTTGTGAGCACCAACAGGAACCGACTAGAAGCAGTAATAAGGAACAAAGGATATGCTATCGACTACTGAAGAAAGACACTGAACTCTGAAAACCAAGGGTATGAATATTTTTGAACATGAGTGTTTTCAAAGATTCATGAATAAAACAGACCTGAAACTGAATATTTTATCAGTTGTATGTTGCTGTTATTCATTCCCCTGTTGGTCATATATAAATCATAAATAAGCTCGACAAAATGTTTTCTTTTCATCAAAAAAGCAAAATATGTCGTAAATTAACAAGGGTATGAATAATTTTGAGGACGACTGTATACCGGCCCCCGGCGGCGGGGAGACACCGCAAGGTCGGCCGAGGTCAGGTCGAAGCCGCCAGAGAAAATAGGAGATGCAGCGACCCCACTCTTCTGCCATCCCGATGACTTCTGGTTGGTCTGGTTCGTGCAATGCTAGATAGTGTCATTCGACAATGGTGTTATCCTAACAACAATTTTATACGTACTGTAGGTACACGGCTCGTCTCACTACGTAGCACTATTCTTTTTTCGATAAAACGACAATAATTCGAGGACTCGGTCACTAAGAAATCATGACACAAACTTACGCGAGACTCGACTTCAGGACCTCAACTAGGTGACACATTGAAATGCATTGACAGGTGGGTGCTTACTGCTTACCAACCTATAGGTATGCTAAGTTTCAGCGCAATCGGCTCAGTAGTTGCCGAGTTATTGTACAAAACTGACACTTCTTCTTTTTGCAAGTGGCACGTGCAGTGGGGTTTACCCACATGAACCGAGAATGGTCAAACACGAAAGGATGCAGCTACCGCGCACAAAAAGACCGCAAGCGAATCGGTCCAGTGATTGCTGAAATATGTACCAGCCTCTCCGCCGGCCGCTCATACCCACTCAGAAATTTCCATTATTTTACGAACGCTTCGCTCGCTCACTCGCTCGTAAGAACTAGAGTCTAGGCTGTCTGCAAAGACCTAAAGGCCACTGCACACTAACCAATCCACTTGGCCGCTCATTCAGCTGTTACACTAGGCGATCTTCCCACGCAACCGATATGTATAGAGAATGGCGTAAGGACCCTCGCTACTGTAGCGGTTGAATGAGCCGGTCGAATGGATGGTGAGCGCGTGTTATAGTGTTTCTACGCGCTTTAGTGCCGTTTTTTTTTTCGCTCAAGTTTGTCAGACCAAATCTTTGTGCATTATACGCATTCCACTGACTATTCGGGTGCGTCTGGAAATCCAGACGGAGATACGGTTAAGCTATATAACAGACAAGTTTTTACCGAAAAATTGTTTCACTCAACTAAAACATGACCAGGCGTTCGTAAATCGTAGATTCTACGGCAAATTTAATAGGTGGGCGAGGTGCTAAATGCTAATGAAATCACACTTTATTATCATCGCCCGCTCCAGACAGCCCGTTGGCGCGCCCATCGTTCTCGTTCTGTTCCCACCCTGTCACGGTTGGTTCCCACACCGCCTGTAAACCAACGCCCCGAGAGCCCGCGGCGGCCGGGCAAAGCCACTGCACCAGATATTAATTCGCTCCAATGCAACCCCAAGGGTAGGATTTGGCCCCGTGGAAGTGCCTTTGATGTGCGAGATGCCCTCCCTATAGGTGACGGCTGTAATGTGAGAGGTCAGCGGCAGTCTAAATCAAAACGGCGCTATTCAAGCCATCTGAAATACGCAATATCTGAGTCAATGATGCGGTTCCGTCTGGGGCTTGGCAATGGTTTGGTGCATTGTTTTGGTGGGTTGGCAATTGGTCTCATAAAACGCGGTCGCGTGCCAGAGGTCGCATAATTTGATTTGAGTAGAGACCAGAGGAGCAAAGATCAGACCAGATATCAAAGTCAACCTATAGGTAGTAGGTTTCTACTTGACATTAGGAACGCCGATAAAGTCCATCAATTGGTTCACAAAATAATTGGAACAGTGCAGTTAGGTAAAACGGGAAAAAGTTCAAATCCTTTTACATTAAGCAAATATTTTTCACAATCCATTCGAGTTTACCGGTCATGTCGGTACCCGTAAACTCGTCATAGTGCCATCATCATCCTCGCTAGACCACGCCCGTGCTAATCAAGGCTACTTGCTAACCCAATGCTAACGATGCTAACCACCGTCTCTCCCGTCTGTGTCGGCAGGAGTACGCCTCGATATTCCATCTGCACTACCCTGTCTAACCACCGTCTCTCCGTCTGTGTCGGCAGGAGTACGCCTCGATATTCCATCTGCACTACCCTGTCTAACCATCGTCTCTCCGTCTGTGTCGGCAGGAGTACGCCTCGATATTCCATCTGCACTACCCTGTCTAACCATCGTCTCTCCGTCTGTGTCGGCAGGAGTACGCCTCGATATTTCATCTGCACGGGTTTGACAGCGTCGAGGACTTCCACTCGCTGGAGGCGGAGCAGCTCTCCGACCTGGGCATTGTCGACCCGGAGCACCGCTCCAGCCTGCTGGGCGCCGCCCAGGTGCTCACTGCCGGACCAGGTGCGTACTATATCGTCGCCAGTTCAAAGTGACAGTAAAGTATGAATGTGATGGCATCACGTTACGCACTTAAAACGATAATGTTCCGGCGAAATGGGCAAGTTTTTTTTTTGGAGCTAGCTATGTAGGCAATTGGCCCCTTTTCCTTGAGAGTGCCTACCTACACTTGACCTCGTCTGGGTCATATCCTTCACACCCCGCGACTTCGTGCTTCTGGCGGTCGGTGGCACGGTTTTGTGACTTTGTCACGGTTGTCACCATGTCTCCCTAGCCTCCGCGGTCTGCAGTTCGCGTCGCCCTTTGACCCCATCCCCGGCGGACTGCTCACCACCCCATCCAGGGCCCCGGGAACAGTGTGTCGTACTGTGCGACTCGGGGAACGGTAACGATCTGCCCCATCAGTGGCGGCGGCTAGTCCCAAGAAGATTCGTGTGAAGGACTCGATCGAACGGTCGTGTGAGTGGAGCGCTCAGCGCGGGGTGTACGGTCTGATGGATATTGGCCAATTAGAATTGCACTGTGTAGTAAAAAGTACCGCACAGTGTGCGAGAGCGGTGGCAGCGAGCGTTTCGGTGGCAGCGTGCGAGCTTAATCGGAAAGTTGGTAGATGTTTTGCCCGTCGAAAAAGTTCCCGACTGCCAATACCAAGTCTATGTAAAACTATACTGGGCTGGGAGACATCCGTGTAATGCGGTGCAATCTATATGTTTATCTTTTTATCGGTTTTACCTCCGACTGCCAATCCTCAGTCCAGGTATGACAGCTTAAAGCCGAGGTAGCGGAGGTCAGAACTGACAGACGTGCGATTATGCCAATGTAACAGCAGGCTAATTGGCTGAGAACGGTGCGCCAACTCATGAATGAATAATGAAGACATTCATTAAATGCAAAGGCTTATGCGTTGCTTGTCCTTTATATAGTAGTTTCTCAGGCCTCCTCGGGAGACAAAGGCATACGAAAGGACTTGCAACTGGCAACATTAACTGGACCGGCGAAAAAAGTGCATTGACGACTCGTACGAGAGTTGAGCTACAATTTGCCCTTGCAACTAAACGCATTCAGATGGAAATTGTATGTAGATATCAAATGACATAATTTGTGCATTTTAAACGAAAACTGATCATGATTAAAAAAAGCTAGGCGATACAAGCGCGATGTTTTATCTAGTTATCACCCGCTTTATATGATGGCCAACTGATTTAATAAATATGTCTAACAATACTGAACAATTATCACCCACTATCTTTTATCTTGGGAGTGAAGCGATGGAATACTATTCGTGTGAATTCTCTCCCGCAAAAGCACCAGTTATTCGTTGATAGGATATTTTACAACATTAAGATGCGCTGCAAGATAATAATCCGTGCATTGCGAAACACAACTTCAGGGGCGTCTTTATTAGGCGGGCGAACGTGCGAAAGGGCGTCACTGGGTAGGTAGGTATACCACCAATCATAAGCTCGTTACCGCTCGCCCCAGCGTCATATAATCGCGGTCCGAGGCACCCCACCCAGTTAAACAGCAGTGCGGTGTTCCGGGTCTGTGAGATTAATCGACAGTTAAGGTCAGCCTCCCAAGTGGTAAACCTCATTTCGCATTAATTTGTAATCTCCTGGTAGTTTGATAACATTTTGTCAACCATATGTAGCATCAGTGAAATACCTCATATTCTACCAGTATAACGCCTTTTGGGGCGAGTAACGGAGCGAGCGAGAGGGTGAGCCTTGCACGTGCGAAATTTCGAGGGGGTACCTCCAACTGACTTGTGCACGGCACCCTACTAACCGGTCTCTAGCGATGTGCCAAATTTGAGCACAATCGGCCCAGCCGTTTTCGAGATCTGGAAGCGGCACCCTGCACGTGCGCACGTGCAAAATGGGTCCCAACTGACTTGTGCACGGCACCCTACTAACTGGTCCCTAACCGTGTACCAAATTTGAGCGCCATCGGTCCAGCCGTTCTCGAGATCTGGAAACGACCCCTGCACGTGCGCACGTGCAGCAGCACCCCAACTCTGGCACATGGACATGCAGTGCCTAGTGGGTGCCTACCTACATGCCAACTTTCAGCGCAATCGGCCAAGTAGTTACCGAGATATTGCAACAATTACAAAACTGACACCTCTTCGTTTTGCACGTGGCACGTGCATAAGGGGTCACCCACATGCATCGGGGATAGTCCAATACTTGGTAGAAGGAATGAAGCTACCCTACAAAAATTACCGCATGTAAATCGGTCAAGTGGTTGCTGAGATATAAGCCTCGCAAAAGCGTCCGCACGGTCGGCCGGCCGCTCATACTCAGAAATTTCCGTTAATCTAAGGAAAGACTCCGCTCGCTTCGCTCGCTCCGTAATAATGCATCTGCCCGAAGACGACAAAAGCAATCATTTGTTACCGGACGTTTGGGCCAGGGAATGCCTTCGTCGGTGAAAACGAATACAACGCACGACATATCAGAAAGCTCCGACAGTTCGTAAACCCGCTGTACACCTGTGTGAGAACACCCGAAGCCCTACCACCTTGTACGGAATAAGGCGCTGAGCGCGTCCACCCGTGCTGCTGCTGCTAATGATGTTCCCGATAATGCTAATGATGCAATGATAATGGTAGCCCAGCTGTGTCCATTTGTCGAGCCCGACTGACGTGCACCGTCTCACCGTCGGCAGACGCGTACGGCGCCGAACCACTGTGCGACTTCAGCCAGCCGCTGCTCTCGGAGCTAATCCGCGACTCGGGCTGCTACGACGTCTGGCGGCTGACCGAGGAGACCGCCACCAGTGAGGGAGACCCGACCGAGCGGCCGACCTCTCCGGCAGCGGAGGGCGCGCCGCAACCGAACGGCGCGCCCGCAGCCGGTCCGGAGTCCCGACCCGACCTGCCGAGCCCCCGATCGGACAGAGCCGCGGCAGGAGGAGGCTGAGGATCGTGCGGAGGAGGTGGGAGAGGAGGAGCGCCAGTATCCCCCGGAGGAGAGCGCAGCCGCATCCGCGGCCGGCGCGCCCGAGCAGGACAGTGGGACGCTGCCGGCTGAGGCCGGACAGTGCGCCGCGGCAGAGACCAGTGAGGCGGGAGACCTGGTGCACGCCCAGCCGGCCACCGTGACGCCCGCCGCGTCGGACGCCGCGCGCCAGGCCACTCCGCCACGCGCCGCTGTGGACTTTGCGCGCAAATTTGAGAGCGCGCGCAGCGTGTTCGAGCCGAACTGTGTGCGCCGCCAGATTCCGGTCGGAGTCCGCGGTCGGACGCCGGTCGCCGAGTCCGCCGGGGTCGGCGACGAGGTGACCGTGTAGGCGGCGACGGTGGCGCCACTGTCAGCGTTACGTCAGTCACATGTAACTCCAGTTGGCGCGGCGGCCGCTAGTCTATGAGGGCGGCGAGCTCTGTGACCGACTGAACTTGCGTTGTCCCACGCTGTCAATGCTCTCAGCTCAGTGCAGAAAGTTGCCGTGACGTTCAGCGAGTGTGGAATGCTCTCAGCTAACTTAATCGGAGGGGACTGTATTCGAACTGGAGTCTCATTTAGTCGGTTTTGAGGACTTCGTATGGGTGTTTTTTGTTTCTTTTCAATGCAGTCATGTTTGTGATTTTTTTTTGCAAATCTGTGATAGACTGGACTAATGGTGTTATGGTTTTATGCTCAATGTTTCACTTTGAGCCATAATACCCATGCATGCCAATGTTCGGTAAAGACCCGACATTTTGTTTGTATATCCATGTTACAACATTGTATCCCCTTAGTTGCAAAGCATCGGTATTGTCGACAAAGGACACTGACAGCTTATGACCATGGTGAATATGATGGGACCGAGTAGCCATGATACCCCACGCCCCTTCGTAAATATTCCCACATTCATAAGCAAACATCATACAACCTCTCAACAAGGCAGATTTTCTTCCATTACCGCAAAGCCTCGAGTGCCTCGAGCTAAGAGCACTGCAGCGCGCTTGATGTCCCTAACCATCTGTGCTACGCCAATTCAATGGAACATCTGTGCTGTTCACTGTTATCGTTTAAGGGCTCAAACGTCCCTGGTCAGTCTGCAAGGCCACATAACCACCATATACGGCTGACTATTGTCAGGACGACTTGTGGGACATGACAGAATGTGAAATGTCCTATACAGATGTCTCCAATCCGTGTCATGGCCGGGACCTGCCAGTGTCACAAGGTGTCGCAACATGTTGCTTTCTGTTCCTCAGAATAATATGAGGAGCCTACGCACTGTTATGTAGGTTCACATGTGAATACCAGCGTGGTAACTGTATACAATAATGCTAAGTCATGCGAGGCTGGTGCAGTGTATTGCTTGTTGGGTTCATGACTGCAAGTGTAAATCATTTGTCATATTGTGTCAATAAATGTCAGCAAAATGAATGAGATGGTGCTATGCTTTGTGCATACTAAATTGCCAGCATTGGTAATTGGTATGCTGGGAACAGGAAACAAATCAATCAGCTGCAATCATGCTATACTATGTTCCGTTTCAAGTTTGCAGCCGAAGTGCCCTGCTGAAAACAGTGCGTGATTTCTGTATATACAGCTCTTACATTTTAAGACCTTACATTTTACATTTTACATTTTTTGAAAAGTTGATCACTGCAATCAAACTGCAAGCATGAAGCAGCAGCACTTTTGAGTAGTGTACCTCTCACTTAACTGCACCTCTGCTACCGTACATGCAATTTATATTTCTGGTATACACAACATGGCGGAAATCGATAGACAAAAACAAGTCACCAATGCTCCTTCCAGTATATATTAGAGTTCAGTGTTTAAGACGCAAATTCTTGAGCGGAGGAGCGATCTGCCCCTGCCGAAGAAACTCCGACTGCAAGCTTGATATGGAACAGACTATAACAATATTTTTCCTTAACATTAATATCATTGAACATAAAAATGAAAATAAGGAAGGGAATGGAACAGTGAAGCGAATCTTTGAAATGATAATATGAAGAGCTTGCTTTGGGACATGGACATACATATACCGTAAGGTGGGGCTATTTGAGACAGTGGGGCTATTTGAGACAGTATTTAAAATTGTTATAAAATGAAAACCATTTGAAATTTATGCTTAATTTCTTCGCAGGTGATTTACTGCTCGATTCCACACCTCCCTGAGCAAAAATATCACACAAAAATTAAACGATCTTCATTTTATAGCGATTTTAAATACTGTCTCAAATAGCCCCACTGTCTCAAATAGCCCCACTTTACTATGATTACTTCAATGGTAACTTAAAAATTTACTTTTGGCATAGGATTTTGAACTGGAACAGCAGTTCCATAGCTTGAGCTGAGACTAGCACAGATCAGGAGCTTTAACAGCTCACAATCACTCTAGACAAAGATATTCCGTTTCTTGTTCCGTAAAGAGTGCCTTGTAGAGGAATGTATGCCTTGCTGGGGAATGCAGCCACATCATTATCAGCCAATAAGCATACTGCTTAATAGGATTGAACTATGCAATATGATTGGTTAATGCGTAATTAGCTTCTGCGTGAAACGTTATTTTACATAGAACATAGTTCTATCTTAACTAAAATATAGAATATAATCCTTTTTATCAAAAGATTCTTTTCTCTTTCTGATAATTTTTATCATGAATATCATAAATCCATTGAAAAAAAAATCGGAAGAGTGAACTATTCCCTTCAAGTAGCTTGGTGCCCTACCTACCTAACACATACACGCAGCACTTACTAGGTACCTACCCAGCTAGGTAGGTATCAAATATTCAAAGGAAACCCTTGAAAGGAAAGATATACTGATTGGATACCTAGGTACCTACTTGTGGTAAGCTGCTATTAACTTCATTGTTATCCTTATCCTTTTTATAAACATTCTAATAAATCAAACATGAATGATCTTCTCAGTGCAGACTGAACTATAAATTGTTGGTCGGATGCAAGGCCGGATGGTCGATTTAAGTCAACTAGAAAATCAAAATAGTGCATCAAGTGAACCTCGGTTCCAAGCGGCAATGCCACGTGCATTGCCCGGGAATCGAACCCGGATGGCTGAATCTAGAGGCAAAGAACTTACAACTTACCCCCACGGTGACTATAATTACCACGGTGACAATAAATATAACAAACAAGGCTGTAGAAGTCCATTTTGATGTGCAAGCAAGACCCTTTAGTGTGCCCTAAAAGGTATTGTGTGTGGGGAATGGGGATAAAATGTAGGCATTTTACCTGATCTGCAAAGAAACGCTGTTTGTAAGTTGTCAAGCAACATGCTGTTAACATGCAAGTTCAAACTCAAATTGCTAGGCAACCGCAGTTACCACATTATCTATTAAATGATTAGAAAAGCCACAGCTGCGTCATGAAAGGTGCAAAACTGGAATGTTTAAAATATAATCCTATAGAACATAACTAGTGGGTGTTTTGTTAAATAAATCAAAATGACAGGCTACTTTTCCATTTTCTTAGCAATACGTTTATAATTCTGGCTGAAGTCTTGTGCCATACGTTATACATCACTAGTCTGAGTTTCCGGGAGCATAGCGTTTCCATGACAACCGTGAGTCCGTCCGGGGCGGGACTGGAGGTGGTTTCGCCCTAATTCAATATACCCTGGTTTCGCTCCGGGTTTCTCGCCTGGTTTCTCGGCAACCGCCGTCGCCGTCAAGACGGGTGAGCTCATTGTGTTCAGCTTGTCAAGACGAATCGGACGATATGTATTTCAATTTTGACTTTGAGGTTACGTGACCTGAGGTCAACTTTTGAGTTTTGGGCCCCTGAGACGTCAATTTTATCTGACCTGAAAATGGCCTGAGTGAGCTTTGTCGAATCTATGAAATTATGTCGGTAGATTTCCGATTTCGATTCCTCCAGCTGGGTGGCTAAAATACCTACATTACGAGCCCCCCCCCCCCCCTCCTGCCGAAAAGCTGGAGGGGCCCAGCCCCCGCTAGCCCCCCCACTGGCGGTCGCAGCCGCTAGCAAAAGGGGGGGGGGGCAAACTCACACTCGCGGGACATAACATTTATCCGTCACCGGAGGGGGGGGGGGTGATCGGCTAATTTTTACGTCCACGAGGCGCAGCGCAGTTGGCACTTATTATGCTTCATCCATGTCATTCTTGCGTGGAATCTTTTAAGCACAATTTAAGGCAAAATCACCAGTTCCAACTTCCATTTCCCGTCCCACGGTGTTTCCACCGGTCGGGCCACTGCACCATGGCGACGGATCGGTGTAGCATATACTGGAAGGTCGGGCACGCGGATTTATGACCTTACCACTATAAAACAATTCGGAAAAGTACAGATACCTACCTCTTGCTTTGAAAAAGCATGTGAAACCCAGAGAGCATTTTCAGACTATGACATTTAGGTTGTGTGGCGGCGGGAGAGAGTAGGTACACCGACCTCTGGAGACCAAAGGTTCCTGGCTTTCAAAATTGGCATCTGAGGGCCGCGCGCGACTCCTGCGATTGCGGCTCTATTGGGGCTCACTCAACCTGCCTAGTCCTCATGCTGAAAAGACTGGCCCTGAGCCCTGAGGATTTCATCAGTCTCTGCCAGCTCCAAGACCCACAACGGCTCAATGGGGTCCCGATGTCGAAATATGAGGGAATCTACGCGCCACGCGGGACCATCAGGACGTAAAGTGATCTCGATCAGGACCAACGTAAGGCTGTACAGGAGTCTGCGTAAGCCCTCTGAGCTTCAGAAGCCCACCCGTGTATGTTTTCACTTAGAGGCCAGATAAGGGCCCTCAGAGACCAGTACAGGGCCTACAAACTGCAAAGGCCAGTAGTTTGAGACCATCAGAGACCGAGTTGGGCTCTCATAGGCTAATGTGGGTCCTTACTCATTACAGGCCAACATGGGGCCCTCAGATGTCAGCGTGGACAGTGGCGGCGGAAGGTATTCTAGGATAGGGGTGCAAACGATATTGAAGCGCCCTTTCCCGCTGGGCGCCCCTTACCATGCCGATGGCCGTCCCTGCACTGGAAAATCAGTTTCGCCCCTATACAGGCGCCCATAGAAGTTTGCAGAGTGCTATTCCTGGTCATAATCATCTCCCCAGTAAAAAAAAAAAAAAAAAAACGCAAAATACGCCCTAGCACTAGGGGTGTAACCGCACATACGGACAGTGCAATTTTACAGGCCCCAATCTCGGACCTCCCTTAACATTCATATGTTGTAAACGGCAAACCGCCCCCGATAAATGTTACACAAACTAATTTCCTCTCGCATATCGGCCATCAGGCGCCCCTTTTTGTCGCATGGAGCCTGCAACGCTATAAGCCCTCATATGTTCGTGTTGGCGTTCGGAGGCTATCGCCTTCAAAGACGTCTCCATAAATGTTTCTTTTTCGTCCCACACACAGGCGCCCCTCTTTCGCATGCAGGCGCCCCTCTTCCGCATGGCGCGCTTCTCGAGTAGCTGCGCCCTCCTAGCCTTTATCGCCTGGCAAGATTATATTCGACAGGGTCGGCAGCATTTGCCTTTGTTTCAGATAAGGATGCCCTCCACTCCAGCATATCAAAAGATACTTTTCCCACGTCATTGCCACCCTCTTCGTGTCACAAGTGCCTTTATCAGTTGCGGTGTCGCCTCGCACTGCTCAGCTTTATGGCTGCCGCACCTCTTAACTTCCTGCCTCCTCTACAGATTTTCGAGGCGCCCCTTTCCATAGCTTTAGGGTGCAGCTGCCCCCCTTGCCCCCCTGCTTCCGCCGCCACTGAGCGTGGAGCTCTAAAAGACCGGCATGAGCCGTCGTTGGACCCCAGAGGCCAGCAGAGGGCCCTCAAAGGCCAAGATGGGCCCTCTTCAGAGGCCAATGCAGGCCCTTAGAGGCCGGCATCGGGTCTTTAGCAGCCAGTGCGGGGCCCTCATTGGCACCTAAAGGTTCGTCTTAGGACACCAGAGACAGAAATAAGGCCACCAGAGACCGGTGTGAGACGCTCAGACGCCGGTTGGGGCCCCTGAGGCCGGTTAGGGGCCCTCATAGGCCAGATGTGGGGCTTAAGAGGTCGATGTGGGCTCTTATGCCGAAGAGGGTCTCATGCCAGCCATTGCTGGGCCTACGAGAGCCTCAAGGAAACCCACGCTGATATTCCATATAAGATCCGGCCTTACTCGTGAACCGGTACAGCGACGCTGTACCAGCGACGCTGACCGCCAAATTGACAGAATGCGAAGCTGAGCCCAGTCATGAGTAAAATTTACTTCCTTTGATGGCGCAAGAAAGAAAATGAAACATACAAAAAGCTTTCTAGGACTTTTGTTCGATCTGAAAGGTGGGGCCAAAAGATAGTATGGCCCCACCTTTCAGCACAAAAGAGGGGGCCATGGCCCCCGTGGCCCCCCCTGGGACCGCCTATGTGCCCCCCCCCCCCCGGCTCCCGCGCCACTGAGTGCCGTTTACCGCTTGCCGCTAGTTTGCTTCGTTTTCGAGATCTTAGGGTTGACGGGTATCCATTACTCCCCCTCCCTGTTGGTGCGAAGGTCGCCCGGACTGACTGTCGGTGCCGAACCAGGAATCGGCCGCCGCCTATGCTTGGGAATAGGGACGGTTAGAATATGATTTACCTGTATGGCCGCAGCCAGTGCATCGTAACCGGGGGGGGGGGGGGCGGGCACAAGGGGCGCGGGCCGCCTCATTAGATGCATGGTGCCCTATGGGCTCGAGGGGCCCTGCAGTGCCAATTGGCCGCTCAAGGTCCAAGCGTGCCTTATTTCGACTAAGATAAAACCCGCAGGACTCGTGAGAGCACCTCACGGAGTCACGGGCTCCTGAGTCGCCACACATCACACATCTCCATAAGGGCCCCACTCCGGCTTCTGAGGGCCCTGTGCTGGCCTCTGAGTGACCTTGCTGACCTATTAAGCGTCAGCTCTAAGGGTCCTGGCCCATACCCGCATGGAACGGCTCCACACCAGCGTCTCTGAGGGCCCATAACGGCGCCTGTGAGGGTCTCACACCGGCGCCTCTGGGCCCCACACCGGTGCCTCTGGCAGCCAGCCACCGGTGACTCTGTAGGTCCTACACCGGTGACTCTGAGGGCCCCACCGGCGTCTGAGAGTACCATGCCGATCTCTAAGAACTCCACAGGGCTCCTGAAGATACTGCCGGCCCTCACTTGCCGGCCTGTAAAGGCCCATTGTTGGCATCATACGGCCCGTTACCGGCCTCTGAGGGTCCTTTGTCGGTCTCTGAGAGGCCCTACTGGGTTATTAAGCATTCGCATTTCGCACCAACAACTCCAAGAGCCCCACACACAGCCATCTGTGAATGGTGTGGGCTTAGCGCCACACTAGTGTCTGAGGCACCACAACGGCGTCCATGTGAGGGATTTTGTCGAAAAAAGGTCATTCTGCTGCTTTCGACGAACGTTTTCAGCGAAAGAAGCAGAAGACGGTGAATTCCCCAGAACCTGTTTTCAATTCTGCATTTTTTAATATACATATTTGCAGCGCAAAGCCGTGGAACGCACAAGGGATCGTTTCAGGCAAGATAACAACATCTCCATTACCCACCTATGAGCTTCAACATCATGACCGTCCGGAGTCGAAGTTGGAGTCGGAGTCGGAGTCGATTTTTGAAGCCGGAGTCGGAGTCGGAGTCGGAGTCACCCTAAAATCCATCGACTCCGCATTCCTGCCTCCTACCGTTTTTCGCTTAATTTTGAAATACCCGGGGCATGGCCCCCTTCCCTCATTGGTGAGAAGTTGGCCCAGCATTTGGCTCAGACCCCCGTCCGTGTGTCCCCGTGACAACATCAGGGTACATCAGCATAGTCGATTTGCCTTTTGGTTTGAGTGGTATGATTTGGATGATAGGAAGGTGTCCACAGTGGTCTTAGATGGCGCTGCGCCGGACCCTGAGTGACAATCCCGAGCAGAGTGCATATATCCTCGGATGTAATCCCTTATGCATATTTTACTGCGGTCCGCGTGGACGGCATGCAATTTTTGTTGACTACATATGTATAGCAAATCGTTTTGTCCACAGCCTCAAGATGGGGTTGGAAGCCAAGCCTGATTCATACAGGTTCAGATTGGTGCCCCAAAAGGAATGGAACTTCATGAAAAACAAGGACGCTTCCGAGAGCCTGATGAAGTGGTAAGCACGAAGAAGCCAAGTCGCCAATTATAATTGTACCATCACCGTCTTATGACATGTCTCATTTGCGCAATGCAGCGAAAGAAGGTGCGTTAAAGGGACTATCCCACCTTCTAAAATGTTGTTAAAACCAGTTAAATTGTGCCCGACTTTATAGATTGGATGACCAGGAACACGGTTCTGGCATTTATTTTTCATTAAACATCTTAGGCTTCCCATATTCCAAACACAAACTTTCAAATATGTGACGTCACAGCCCAAAACTACCTCTTTCCCCAGGCCACATTGCTGTCATAAAGCTGATTCTTTTTACTCTGTAGGCACCACAACAAAGTTCAGACCAAGTTTTAAGCGATTTTTTCAACGAACAAACCCATTTAAATCAGAATGACTAAACGAGGTGACGTCACACTAACGGTCGCTCCATGTTGAAGATAGGGCCTTGCACAAGGCCCATTTTCAAATGAAGGGAACGAATTTCTTCAACACCAAGAGGCCGCGGGGGTTGCAACCTAGATAGATAGTGGTTTCTGAACCTCGCCGCAAACTTGGCTATCTCAACTCAAACCCCATGTTAAAGGTGGGATAGTCCCTTTAACCCTCACGCCTGTGTGCGGCGTTTTACAGCGTCTAACTTGTAGGTAGTGTTGTCGATTGCCCCCCCCCCCCCTCCCCTGCCGTTCGGCCCCTGATCGAGCTAGGACTTCGCGGAAAAGAACGAGCGGGCTACCTGTGACGAGAGGAACCGATGATACCCAGCTTTTAAGGTCCTAGTCATTGGTTGACCTTTCAGGTCGGGTCAATCACCCAAAAGTGGGGGAAATCGTAAGCTGCTAGAACGTCGTAAAGTGAAGCTGTTATCGGACTATTCGGAGTGCTGATCACGATTTTCATTCAGTTTTATCACAGCTGATGCCTTCATGCATTTTGTCAGGTCGGCTTGGGTCAGATCAGGTCAATTAGTAGGCGTCCTGCCGGCTATCCGTAGTAGGTGTCAACCACCACTGACGGCGTCGTAACATGTTTCGATGGCGCTAAAGCTACTTCCTTAATGTTCATATGGATGCTAAATTCGAAACCAGCTCCAAAAAACTAGCCTAGAAGCATGTAAAACTCGAAAAAGTGAACGAAGGTCATCAAAGGTCAATGACCTTGACCTGACCTTGACACCCACCATAGTGCATGGTCCATGGAACCAACATCATTTCACACGTTTGAACGTTTACAATCGTAAAAAGACTGGAAACGTGCGGACAATGTTGCTGTCACGCCGAATCGCGATTCCGGCCAAACATGGTCTCGAGAAATAGGTCTCAGGTCAAAGCTCATTTGGTTCAGGGCAGGGTCATAAACATTTCAGAGTGGGTGTAAAATTGATCAACTCTGGGATGCTGAAAGTTTGGTCGCGAATGCCATCGACCGACTTTTGCGCGAGTTATTCGCGAAAAAACAAGGGGGAATCATCCGACCCCCCTCCCCCGCCCCATAGCAGGGGGACTTCCGACTGTAGAGCCCCGCTCCCTCAGTCACTCGCGTTATGGAACATAGCTCATTTGCGGATTAATAGTTTTTGAATCTCTGATTGTTGTTCGGGGTCACGGAATAATTGAATGATGGTGCAAACTTTTTCAGGGACCCTTTATTGAGTTGGATCATCTTGCGGAGCTGCAAGGAACAGCTGTTTTTCTTGTTTCCTCGACGGAATATTCATGAATTGGTAGGGAGTGACGTAGGTACTGGTTTTGTTTTAGGCTGCACTATTTGACTATTTCTCAGGTCGTTGCGTGACAGAATCTCGGTGCAGGCCTTCTGTTACGACAAACATCTAGACATTCACAACCGGGTCGAATTCGTGCAGGTGAGGTACTTTTCATGAAGGGCACCTTTATGCATATTGCATAAGATGCCTAAAAATGTGCTGTGCTTCCGTCTTCACTGCTGCGTTACGACATATCACTTGCTCAGTGCCTATGAACAATGCTGAATGAGCAAAGATCTTACATCTTGCAGGTGTGTGATCTTTTCAGCTGCTATAAGCTATATCAAAAATGCCGGCAATAGTGACGGATATAAACACGCATTTTTACGAGAAACTATCCCAACTATTGACGTCTAATGTTAGAGGTCAATGGTCGCACTTCTTTGATGTATTAGGGCATTTCCTGAATAGAGCGCGGTGTTTTATAAGTTGTTGATTATGTTGAACCATTTCCAGGAATTTTTAACCGAGCCTACGATCCTGGCGAGTTTGAAGGTTCTCACTGAAGCTAACAAATGGTCACCGTTGAGTAAGTGCCTCTATAGTACCCTCAGTTTACGCTGGTTATAGTCTGAATTACATGCGACTATGCGGTTTCATAGTTTGCTTAGTATATCAGTAACAGTGTATCTCATTATCTCCAATGTTACCGTATGATGTTGCATTTATTTTTCTTTGTTGCGCTTATTCGTATTATTGTAAGATCAAATATTGTGAAACTTAATCCTCCTTTAAGTAACGCTTTACAGTGATAAAAATATATCTATATAGATACCCATCTCCGTTGAGTGGAACTAGCAATGCCTTGTGAATTTGGTTAGGTGCCTATATGATGAAGCTCAACACTGTTGTTGATTGCCTGTGCTGAACGTGACAATGGTGCAATGGATGCTTGGGTGATGAATTTAGAAATTGCCATGGTAAATTCTAGTCGCATCTGATAGGCAAATAGGCATGTATATGTAACATTATTCATACTGCACACGACATACTACATAGCGTCGTTTATATATTTCTGCGTATGTATATAAGTACCTACTAAGTAGCAAAGTTTTTACATTGCGCAATCCTTATTCGTTTCATGACACCTTATTCACGCAATCCTTATTCAATGCGCAGCGGTGCCAGCGGCCTCCGTCTCCGTGGAGCTGGTACCGTGCACAGAGACCACAATGCGCCTGTTCGACAAGCTGACCGACAGCGGTATCGTCAGAGACAACGGAAACATCAGAAAGTGCATGGAGGAGTGGTTCGGCGACTTGGTTTTGGCTGACGAGCTCAGAAAGGTATTTAGTTGTTTCATTGTTTAAGAGCATTATCAATCATCCGTATTTCTTATTCGAGTTATGTCGTGGTCTTATGTGCTGTCGCAACAATTATTTGAGTACCCTTGATCTTTTCATTAGCATCGAATTTGAAATTGAGAAGCACGATTTAAGGGTAAGGCATTATGTAGTTCGTTTTTTTTTTTTACTTTGCCCCTCACTGAAAACGTCTCTTTGAACACAGCACGAGAATTGCTAGCTGGATTACTGAGAAAACTGTTTAGCGCACATTGTTTTGTTATACGGAGCGAGCGAAGCGAGCGTAGTCTTTCCTTAGATTAACGGAAATTTCTGAGTATGAGCGGCCGGCCGGCCGGCCGGCCGTGGTCACGCTTTTGCGAGGCTTATATCTCAGCAACCACTTGACCGATTTACATGCGGTAATTTTTGTAGGGTAGCTCCATTCCTTCTACCAAGTATTGGACTATTCCCGATGCATGTGGGTGACCCCTTATGCACGTGCCACGTGCAAAACGAAGAGGTGTCACTTTTGTAATTGTTGCAATATCTCGGTAACTACTGGGCCGATTGCGCTGAGAGTTGGCATGTAGGTAGGCACCCACTAGGCAATGCATATCCATGTGCCAGAGTTGGGGTGCTGCTGCACGTGCGCACGTGCAGGGGTCGTTTCCAGATCTCGAGAACGGCTGGACCGATTGCGCTCAAATTTGGTACACGGTTACGGAGCAGTTAGTAGGGTGCCGTGCACAAGTCAGTTGGGACCCATTTTGCACGTGCGCACGTGCAGGGTGCCGCTTCCAGATCTCGAGAACGGCTGGGCCGATTGTGCTCAAATTTGGCACATCGCTAGAGACCGGTTAGTAAGGTGCCGTGCACAAGTCAGTTGGAGGTACCCCCTCGCAATTTCGCACGTGCAAGGCCCACCCTCTCGCTCGCTCCGTTAGTCGCCACAAAAGGCGTTATACTGGTGGATATATTCGTATATTAGTTCAGACATCACAAATGCTGTAAAGCCCTGGTGATGGTAGTACATAACTATCGATATTCTATCTACAGCATGTGTAAGGCAGGGTGGAACAACTTGAACAGAGCGGGGCAATTCGATAACAGTTGGCCCAAATGAAACTACGGAAAAACTGTTAGGCTACAACCAAAGCCAGCTACGGAAATGGTCGTCATTCCCTGGCGAAAATTATCGCAATCGGGCCCAGACTTGCGGTCCAGCACCTCTCCCACAATCCCATCCGGACCAACCATGCTCAAATCACCCCACCCCATTCAAATTAAACCACCCTACCCTATACGTCGTCGCACATGAAAATAGCATGCTACACATACACATTCACAGATATCACACACATTGTCACATCACGGTAACACAATAATTTCATATTTCGTACATCTTGGTATGCTTAGCCAGTCAATTCTTTAAAAGTTCCTGAAAATCTTTGAAACAATTGACTTCAACCACACTACGTGGGAGTCAGTGTTCCATTCCCTAATCGTCTTAGGGAAGAATGAATGATGGTAAGGGAGAAGTCTAGACTGAATCATTCTAATTTTTCTTCTTCTCATGATCATGCCTACCAACATAAGAGGGCTGGCATGTGATGCTGTATGAGGGCTAGATATGAATAATATTTTCAAAATAAGTTTTGAACACCGACGATTTAACGTTATGTTAAGCGCCGTGCAATTTATTTATTAGTTCAGACATAATTCCTGAGAAGTCGTCTATCCCTGAGGGGCTGTTATTGGCAAATACAAGCTACGAGTCTGTGAAATAGTAAATAAATTGATGAAATTGATCGTCTGTGAAGTCTGGTCAAATCAATGTGCGCCAACCAGTTTTCTCAGTAATTCAGCTAGCAATTCTCGTGCTGTGTTAAAAAAGACGTTTACAGTGAGGGGCAAACTTAAAAAAAGAACTTTAGTACATTGGCCAATTTGTTTGGTGTTTCAACGATTTGCCTATGTGAACAAGTTACATATGTACTGTTTTAGCACGTTGCTGGTTCTCTTTCTTGTAACATTTCTTCTAGGCTAGTGCTTTTGATTGGTCACTGATCAGTGACACAATCACCACACGCGAGAAATATGCATCAATGAACAAATGAATTAAACTTCTTGCTACTGATCTTCCGTACAGCACGTTCAATGTAGCTGTTCGTGGTTATTCGTACTCATTCACTCAGATCCGGCCCGGAGGACCAGAATGTTCGTGCGGATCGTATATAGTTCGTAATAGCTCCTGTTTAGTCGGTTCGATTCGTTACCCGGAGGACCAAAAAGAGTTCGTAAAGGTTTATTCTTGATTGACAGCGAGACGGTTAAAATGGATAAAATACGGCGGTCGCAATTCGTCGAATTCTCGGCACGTCGTTCACGGGCCGCGTCGGCCACGTCGTAACACCGGGCCGTGTCGCCCCGGCGGAGTCACATTTGAGACTCGTGATCGTCAGACCGCGTCGGCCACGTCGTATCACATATGACACCGGGCCGTGTCGCACCGGCGGAGTCCCGTTCCAGACTGTTGAGCCCCCATTACGTCCCAGCCCTCGTGGTAGCATAACACGTGGGCATGAGAACCAGGACAGGAGCTAGATATGTCCGTTGGTAGCAGTAAGTTTTCCGATACTGGTACAGCCTTGATTCCAGCCTCTGTACTTTTCACATCACAGCTTCTGGGTGGTGGTGAATCCGACTACGAGGACGTGTTTACGGAGGCGGAGCGGTCCGAGTTCTTGTTCCGCCTGTTCCGCCACCTGGCACTGGGTGGCCGCTGGTGCCAGTATGAGGACAATGTGCAGCCTTACTTGGATGTCACCAAACTCATCTACAAGGAGCTGGTCAGGTACGAGAGTACTGTGATTAGAGTGACGACTAAGCTGTGTGCAAATAGCAATGGCCCAATGATAAGCTCATAGCCTCTGGATGAAACATGATTTGTTGACATTAAGCGCCAAGGTCAGAAAAGGCTAAGGGCACTCAGGCGTTGCTGAACGTTTATGAAGTTACTGACTATCAGAACACTTTAGGGAACTCACTTGAAATGAATTTGTTTTTGTTTAAGGGAGCACGTTTCACATTTCCCGTATTTCAATTTGGAAAAGTTGAACATTGTTAAACGCTCACCAGCCTTTGGTTGGTTCGAGTTGTAACGTCAGTTTTATTTTTCCACAGTGTTTATAAGAGTAGCGATTCTGTCGGCCTGCGCGTAACCAGCCAGGTGTTGAAAGTGACGGCGAAGTCGGAGGATGGCAGCGATCTGATCCCGCGAGAGGCGGACCATCCACAGAACTTCCTCTACCTGCTGGTCAACCCGCATAAGAGGAGCGTCACCACGCTCTACCACCAGTTCGGCGCCCTGCTGCAGAATTAGTCCAGAAGCGCTATAGCGACGCGACGGTCGGACACCATTTGGTGTGTATGTCAGGAGCACACATCAAATGTTTTTTTTTTGTTTGTTTGTGCGTCTGTTTTTCCAGTGTTTCATCACCATTCATGCTAATTAGAGTCCATTGCAGCCACTGTGAGAGCGAAAAAATGTTTTGATTTAATCGAGTTCCGCCATATAAAGTAGGTAATCACCAGGGGCGTCGCCACGGATTTTTGACTGGGGGGGACGGATTGGCTGACTAAAAACCCAAAAGTTAGTTAGTTTAGCGTACAGTTTCAGGCCTATGCACTACTTGTAACGCATACACAATACACATGTTCTCATGTTCTCGCGTGGAGGCGTTATTAGTAACACTCTTTTCTACCTGTGCATGAATTGGCGGCGCGAAGCGCCGCGAAAATTAGCAAAAACTCTTGGCAAAACAGTCCCAAAACGCATAAATTTTGCATCCCGCGTAATAAGTTTGATACCAGGACAGTTAGGGTCTGGTCACCAAGTCCAGCAGCCCTGCCTCTAAAAAATCGTGTGGTCCTCTGTAAACCGCTGTCAACCATAGGTACAGTTTTTTCCAACTTCTGTGCAGTGTAGCTGCAGGACTGCGGGGTCGGAGTCGACTTCGGTCGTAGTCGACGGTTTTGGTCGGATACGGAGTTCGAGTCACCAAAATCGTAACAGACTTCAACTCTGAAGTCAGAGTCAACGTCATCCCCGAGGATGGGTCGAATAAGAGCTGGAGATTCTGTTGGCTGTGGTGATTGTAGGGGTCATGGTAAGACCAATATAGGGGCATACTGAGCATTACGTCCTCCTGGGCTCTCTCAGACCAGGACGAGGTCCTCTCACCCTCAAGCATCAAGCGTTCAAAGGCCATGGTGAGACCTTCTGCTGTCGGATGGCCTCGAACGGGAAGAGGGCCGTTTGAGAGTGAGCTGAAGGTCTTGACTATTACGAATATCCTATGTAAAATGTGTGGTCTCTGCAAGCTGTTGTCCTACTGCACTCTGAGACTTTGGGACAGATCTTCAGCCCTTGTTGGATATGGTCGCCCCTACAACTGGAGCTTTGGCTCCCTATCGACGACCTGGGACGGACAGTCCAGAGCTGCACCTCGTAGGCAATGTTATCTTTTATGTGCCAGGAAACGTTCAAAGAGACAAAAGCATCACATCACATGTTTTTTCACTCCGATGCGGGCCGAGGGATGCCGTGGTCGGAGATGGAGCGGGGACTCCGAGCGTTTTTTTTTTTTTAAGCCGGAGTCGGAATTACCAAAATCATCTACTCCGCAGCCCTGTAAGCAAGGGTACAGTGTCAGCAATTCGCAGATTCAATTTGTATACGAGTAGGTATCCGCAATTTCATCCCAAAACGACAATACACCAATGTCGTGGGTCACTTTTAAAATCATTCATGAGGATATTTTTGCGGGGGACGTCCCCCCCGGATTCCTCGACTGGGGGGGACGCGTCCCCCCCCCGTCCCCCCCGGTTTCGACGCCCATGGTAATCACCATACTGTCACGGATCAAGCGAAGCTTAGCTTTGCCTCAAGTAGGCAGTCACGAATTTCGAGTAGGTATTCGTCCGACCACATGCCAATGACGATATATTTCCATCTGAACTATAGTAAGGGTAACATGAACACCAGGTTACAAAGAGCAGTACGGAACCGGCTAGATGTTACATCGATTTTTATTCCATCTCGTCATGGTTTGAATACATACACACTAGCATACAATACACTAACATACAATACAATAACATACAATAACAACAATAACATACAATAACATACAACACACTAACATACAATACAATACATCATACACGCATGGGTATGCTAATGGGTAGTTAATTCAAAAACATAGAATAAGCACTAATGCAAGCTGCAACCGGGAATGATACAAACATTTCATTCAACACATACAGCTCCTTTTATCAAGGTATCCACTTTCAACAGGTGTTTTATTCTCTTGGTATACAATATACATGCATTGACAATATTTATCAACTCAAATGAAACGTAAAATCATGTAATTACTGTATGCCTGGGCTATTCAATAACATTAGTCGCAGAGGTGTGGTAATGATCTGGTGTAACAATTTGACCACGGTCAAAAATCTTACACCAGTCGGGCTCGGTCAAAAATCTTCGGGCTCGGTCAAAAATCAAGAAAGTACCTCAGTCTGGAAAATTTATCTACACACAGAAAATACTTGACTTTGGCAATCCAGCTTCGTATATTTCAATCAGCTTCTCATTATCCAGTAATCCGCTTATTCAATTGCACAAACACATGTGGACAACGACAATATGTACTGACAAAGCTAACATGGGCCCTGAGTCCTGAGAGCACTGAGATCACTGACATCGTCACTGAGAGTTCTCTGATCAGTGCTGATTGGTTATGTTTACATTCTGGCACCCACTGATGTTGAAGATGATCGTGGAGCCTGTTGTAGCAGATGTTGCAGATGTATGTTTCGTGCTCTCCATCGTCTTCGCGTAGCTGGCTCCTGTTGAAACAGACATCGCCATCGCCTTCTGAATGTGTACATCGGCATCGGCATAGTTTTCAAGGCTGTTCACCGACTTGTGCCCAGTAAGCTGAGCCACATACTCTCTGGGGCAGCCAGAGTCCAGGGCCCGCTTGACGCACGTTTTACGAACCGAGTGGTTCGTCTTGCGTCCAGTTATGCCGGCAGCACCACATGATTTCTTGATGAACTGGCCGATTGTGTTTTTCCCCAGTGGCGCACTCATGTACCACTTTCCGTCATCATTCTTTCTCTTGTTATTTACTGCCAGGTAGAATGGGCTATCTGGATTCTTCATGTCATCCGGTCGTCGCGCGGAGAATTCCTTGTATGCTCTCACCGGACAGCGTTTGTCGTCGGAATGGTTCTTGAAGGCTTTGGGTGCAAAAGCCCTCGATCCGCCAGCCTCTTCGCCGGTGCGAGTCTTCGTTGTTCTCTCGTGATACTCGAGATACTCTTCATCTTTGTCATCTTTCTTGAGTTCGATATCTCGCCACTTGAGTCGCCTGGATTCATCTCGGCCACGATGGCCGAAGTACAAGGTGGTCAGGTACCATACGGTTCTCTGAAGAGAAGTCGGGTTGGAGAATCCGAACTCTCCGCTCTCAAATAGCGCTTCTTCCTCCTCAAATGTCAAAGCTTCTGCTCGATTTGGACGATTTCCCTTGCCCTCGGTTTTGAGAAGCTTTAATTTCGCCTTTTTCACGTCCCTGGACCCTTGGAATTCAGCTTCACTTTCGAGGTCCCACCCACGATTTTCCTTGAGATATGCCTTCACGACAGAGAAGAAGTTGTTCATGCTAGAGGTTTCAAAATGCCCTCCATCCTCCTTTCTCGCATCGATGAAGAACGAACAGATAATATTGTTCATCACCTGTTTGCTCAGGGCAAGCAGTGGTGATTTGATGCCCAACTGCTCTTTATGATCACGTAGCTTGTTGATCCACATGCTTGTTTTACGTTTTGTTTCCGCACTTTTCATGGAATCTACGAAATTCTTCGTTCTCTCTTCGATATCATTAAATTCATCATCACCGAAGTCAAATCCAAAATCAAAGTTTGGGACAGCACGTCCTGGCACTGACCTATCCATCGTGCAGGCATACAGTAAAAATCATACCAAACTCAGCCGGTGATAAATTTTCAAGACCTCGGTACTTTCTTGATTTTTGACCTCGCCCTTCGGGCTCGGTCAAAAATCAAGAAAGTACCTCGGTCTTGAAAATTTATCTACACCGGCCTCGTTCAGTATTATATAATACATGCCATGACATAAAAATACACAATAAGACAAACTACCTACGTATGTACTTGTGCTTTTTTGGTGAGCTGAACATAACGAGTTTTTTATGGCTTTAAAGGGCATGGAGTACCAGGTAAGGGTCGAGTGAGGCAAAGCGCCCAGGACGGGTAAAATGCCCACCCCTATCATAAATTGTGAGATGCTTGACATTTTATAACATGTCTACTGAACAGCCGTTTTCAAGAGCAATGAGGGTTCTGCTTGTTTCTCCTTTTCGGATATGTATGTGGGGAGTTCTGAACGTAAGACCTACATTTGATGTGGATGTGTAGGTACCTACATTTTTGCCGTTTTTTTTTCTTCTGGATTCCATCCTTTCTTCGCAGCTAAAACTTAAATGTGCAGGTTGAAGTAAGCCACGAAATTTAGCTTTGCCAAACCTGTGGATGGAAGCTACATATATTGGGTATTTTGTTGCTTGTTAAACATTCACTAGGCATATGTCGGGTTGGTGAAATTGGTCCTAAATGTGCTGTTGAGATAATACACCCACTAGGGTGTGAAGCGCCCATCGCCACGCCATGTTTGGATCGCCCATGATCGTAAATACAACACAATACAATACAATACAATAGGTAAATCGCCCATCATGGTCGTTTTACCCCTCAATGAGCGTTATACCGCGTGACTAATTGCAAGTGTTTTTGCTCGATGTGAGCCGCCGTACACGTTCCTAAGACTTAATGCTCATGCTGCTTAGTATTTATTCAGTATGCCGTACCTATACTGACTTTAATTTCTGGCCTGGAACGATTAATTCGCACGCACTTGTCTGGAAGGTGTCTTCGCTCCACGAGACAGTGTCGGGTGTTTACTGAATAAAGGAGTGAGGTGACAGTAGAGCCAAATATGTTTTAATATTGTCACCCGCCGATGTAAGGTCGACTGAAATGAAAGATAAAACTAAATTGAATTGATTAAGATAGCAAGTGGGTGAACTGGGAGTCATGCACCACTCGTTTGGGCGTTATGCCCCATGGGTGGGGCAAGGCGCCCGATTTGTAGTCTTCCCGACGACGTCGTACTTTAAAAACAGCGCCTATGTCACATGATTCTGATCCTCTATTCAAAGAAAGACAGATACTGGACTACCGGGTCTGATACCTGGGTGTCTGATACGGAGCCTGGAAAGTAAGGGTGGGCGCTTTGCCCAACCCTATACCCTACCGGAAGATGCCCAAAATTAAAAAAAAAAAACTGTCCATCATTTGGGATAAGACAGCCACCTACAACACATTTCATGGACAGCTGTGCTGTATTTAACCCGGCAGGCGGTGGGCCTCCCAGCCACCTTCCGCGCGGTGTGTGTGTGGGGGGGGGCATTTTTTTTACCCCCCCCCCCTCGTATCTCCGAAACTACTGGACGGATCCGGAAAGTTTAAACGGCGTTCGATAGCCCTGTCAAATTTGTCGAAAGAAACCAAATTTCATTGACCTCGGGGTCACCGATGACGTCACAGGTCAGGTCAAAGATAAAATGTTTCACCGTTCACGGGGCTTCTATAGGGAAAGCGCTATAACACCGAGTAAAACGCATTTTGTCGAAAATCAGCGATAAGGCGTCAGTTGTCTAGTACATATGTTGCTATTAGAGGTCACTGGTCATACCAGGTCAGGTCACAGGTCAGGTCACCAAAGGTCACCAAGGGTCACCACTTGAACCCAACTTTACTAAGGTTGTGCGATGCATGTTTTATGGCCAGTTTTTCATTTCCAGCTCAATGGTATTGGTTATAAGACCATCAGGTACGGTTTAGGTCACTTTCTGGTGGAGGTCAGGTCAAGGTCAGATCAAAAAGGTCAAATTTCAAAGTTGATATTTTTGCATAAAATGGGTATCGATTCGATGCAGCTTGTCACGGGGAGTCTAATGGTGGTCTTTGTGTTGCGCTGCGAGGTCTAGAATGGCTAAAAATTGAGTTTGAAAATTAGACGTCATCAAATTTGAACATTTTTTTCGCTATAACTTGGCCAAAAAAAGAGGTATTGATCTCAAATTTGGTATGTAGATAGAAGGTGGTAGGGACTATCACATATATTCCGTTTTTTCGAAATTCAAAAAAAAATTGGATTTTTTGGCGATTATTTTCAAAAAAATTATTTTTTGATTTTTGGGGGTCAAAATCCAAAAAAAAATGAAAAACCGAAATAGCAGTTTTGTAGCCCTCTTGATTCCACACCTTTTATGTCGGAACATTTTTCTGTATCTCTAAAGCTGTAGGCCTGGCAGCTCTTCCCGCGCAACCTTTTTTTGGGTCGAAAATGGCAAAAATGACGTCACTCTGACGTCATTAGCGGCCAACCTATCATAGCCTTTGGAAAAAATTTTGGTCACCATGTGCGCTAGCTACTCCCGGGAGGGTACTGAAAGTTTGGTGACGATCGGCGCAGCGGTTCTCGAGATATATCGAAAAAACTAAAAGGGGGGCAAAAAATGCCCCCCCCCCACCGCCTGGAAGGTTAATGACCTGAGCTATGGCCTATGACCCATCGGCCATCATGCGTGTGATTTGAGCTGTCCAACCCTTTTCTTGATGGACTTTGATGCTCAGTTTGTGGCAAGAAATTACTAGCCAATCTTGATGGAACAAAACCCATTGTTTGCCTCCATGTATTTTTTTTTTTTACTGTAACACTGAAAAAAATATTCCTATCTTAGGATGAACGAACAATTGTATTGACCGAACTTCTAAAACCCCAAAAGATAAACAATTGATATCAACTTAAACTGTAACCATGTTTATGAACTGTTGTGATGGGACAAAACTACTCAACGTAGAATTTATTTACCATCGACTTAGGCACAGGACCCTCAACCAAGTGTGCATTTGAAATGGACAAGTTGAGGCAGTGAGATGCCCGATCAATGACATAGTCATTATCTGTGATGGCCCTATGCATAGGCAGCGGAACGGGGAGGGCACCGGGGCACCGTGCCCCCTTTGATTTTGGCATTTTAACATTAGCCCTATGGGCGTTGCATGGAAAGAATGGGACCAAAAGTCGGCAGTGCCCCCCCCCCCTCCTTAATTGAGGGTGTTCCACCGCTACTGGCCCTATATCAAACTGCACAGCTGGGCCATTCTGCGCGATGCTATTGCATCGTTGTTAACCCTCGCCCATGTAGGGGGGGGTTGGTGCAACCCCCCCCCCTGAGGTTTTTCGGAAATAGTGCAAAAACGGCGGCGCGCAGCGCCGCCAAATTTTGGGTACCTTATGGGGCAAACCTTGCGCATCTTTTGATAAAAAAAAAAATTTGACCGGGTCATGTCAGGTTACGGAGTTATGACGTCACAAAGGGAACAGCCTCCGGCCGGATTTTCACAAACTGAGTGCCAACGCCCGAGGTTTCCTGCCGGTGGTACGGAGATCGGTTGATGGATCGTGATGAAACTTCCCATGCATGTTGGGGCAAGTATTGGCTATCATATGGTATAAGAAACTTGACCGGGTCAGGTCAGGTCACGGAGCTATGACGTCACAAGAGGAACAGCGTCCGGTACTATTTTTGAAAAGCGCCCGAACCACTATTTTGCTAATTCTTGTCACCTCAATGGGAATATGCAGCAATATTAGCTTCTATAGGGAGCAAATGGACCTCCCAAATCCAAAAATACAATCAGATTTCAAAAATCTAAATTTTTTATTTTTCGAATTTCTGCCGCCGACTGTGACCTTGGCGACTTCCGGCGCTCCCAACGCGCCATTTTTAGAGCTAGGGAAACGAAATACATACCAAACGATAGAGAATTGATCAAGGAACACGATAGTGAAGGTTTCAAGTCGATATCTCCCACCGTTTTGCCGCAATCGCCGCCGAAAGTTGAAAAAAGTCTATTTTTCCGAAAATTTGACCTTTGACCGGTCAAAAGTAGGTCAAATGTTGACCTAGGACCAAAAAATATACCACCAATCGCGAGATCTTGTTGAGAGCAATCCGTTGGTCTTTTCCGCTAAGCTCTACGACGCTCCGTTTTCAAACGCCAAGGGGGGGGGTCGCACCAACCCCCCCCCCCCTGCATGGGCGAAGGTGGCAGATCGCCGTTTACGGGCGAGGGTTAAACATTCCAGCCAAATTATCCCCTACAGCAGTGTCCTGCATCCCTGTCGCCATCAAGCTCGCAAAATACATCCAACATTTTGGAGACAAATCGCTGTCGCATGGAGCGACCCACGTGTATTTCGTCCCAGCACTGATTAATTATATCCTTGATAGCTGGGTCGTCAGAGTCTGTGAAGTTCTGAACTGAGCCGCAGACCCGTTGGGAAAAATCGAAGGTCTCTGGAAGCATGGATGACCACAATACAAGTCCATCCACCTGAAATGAATGAGAATGTGTTATACTCGTATGTATTATTATCGCCATCATCTTGCATTAATCGCAACACGCAGATGGTGCACCGACACTGCTGGTAGTCCCGCTGCTCTTAGTTCTGTCATTTGCTTTCGCGCGCCAATTGGCAGCTACGCTAGCATAGGTATACAATATACAGGCATACTCGTAAGTCGTAAGCTGGCCTTTTCCTTCGTCATTTTTGTCTCCTTTTCTCCCTCCCTAATTTTAAGATAAATCAAAGCCGTAAGAATCATTAATGTGCTAGAATTTTATAATCCTTCCGACTTAGTGTGGTCATGCATTTCCAGTCCATTTATGCTGCCGAAGATCGCTTTTTAATTATTGTACTTTTTTATTCCTTCCGCGAGCGTGCGTCAACGCGATGTTAGAAAAATGAAAACATCTGTGTGTTAGGGGATAACATAGCCATTCGCCGCTTTCATGCCTACCTATAACCAGTAGAACGCCTTTTGGGCGAAGAACGAGCGAGCGAGATAGTGAGCCCCGCACGTGCGGAAGGGCGAGAGGGTACTTCCAACGGGCTTGCGCAAAGCACCCTTCTAACCGGTCGCTAGCGGTGTACCAAATTTGAACGCAATCGGCCCAGCCGTTCCTGAGATCTAGAAGCGGCATTCTGCACGTGCGCACGTGCAAACGGGGTCCAAAATGACTTCTGCACGGCACCCTACTAACTGGTCCCCAACCGTGTACCAAATTTGAGCGCAATCGGCCCAGCCGTTCTCGAGATCTGGAAGCGCCTCCTGCACGTGCGCACGTGCAACCGGGGTCCAAACTGACTTTTGCACGGCACCCTACTAACTAGTCCCCAACCGTGTACCAAATTTGAGCGCAATCGGCCCAGCCGTTCTCGAGATCTGGAAGCGCCCCCTGCACGTGCGCACGTGCAGTAGCACCTTAACCGCAACGCATGGGAATATATTGTCTGGTGGGTGCCTACCTGTATGCTAAGTTTCAGCGAAATCGCTCCAGTAATTACCGAGTTATTAAAATGGGAACAAATTTGACACCTCTTATTGTTGTATTTTGCACGTGCACTGGGACTGACCCACATGCATCGGGAGTATCCTATTTTTGGTAGAAGGGATGCTGCTACCCTACAAAAATTACCGCAAGGCAATCGCCCAAGCGGCTGCTGGGATATGAGCCTCTCAAAATCACTACTTTTGCAAAACAGCTTGAACACCCTTGACTTTTCACGTGGCACGTGCCACGACGGTCACTGAGATGTATCAAAAGTAGTCAATTACGGGGTAGAAGGGATGGGGCTACCCAACGAAAAAGATCGCAGGCCAATCGGTCCAGCGGTTGCTGAGATATAAGCCTCTCAAAAGCGTTACAGGCCGGGCCGGGCCGGGCCGGGCCGGGCCGCTCATACTGAGATTTTTCCGTTATATTGAAAAGACTCACTTCGCTCGCTGCGCTCGCTCGCTCGTAATCACAATACCTATATGCCTACCTATAAGGACACAGAAAAAAATCAAAATCGCCCATTCTCCGGTAAGTCGCGGGCTAAAAAGCATGCCAAAAAATGGGATCGTACGTTTCTCATACGACTTAATGAACCTAATCAGACTTGATATGAGGGTGGTGCTCGTAGATAGATAGATAGATAGATAGTTTATTGACACTGCACTCTTGATAAAATACACACAATACATAAAATACAAAATTCTATACATAATGCAATACACTAAAAATATATATAAAAAGGATAAAACTCGAGTGAAAACGTGTCCATTAAAATAACAAAATACAATATGAGCACCGCGGACATGGCGAAGCACAATCTAAATACATATTATGAATCATACTTTTCAAGAATGTTCTTACATAGCCTTGCGAGATCTGAAGGGTGTGCATCCATAAGGACAGTTAGACCGGAAAAATTTAATCTGGGGAAATGTTCTCGAAGTGAATTTGATTCTGGGCAGTCTAAAAGTACATGTTTCTCTGTTTGCACTGACCCGCACGTGCACAGCCTTTCTGTCTCTGGTATGCGCGACCACCTCCCCGTTTCTATTTTTAACCTGTGTGAACCTAAACGGATTCTTGTAAAAGCGATGCGCTCGTTTTCAGGTACATTTGCCTCATTTTCTGCGTACATTTTCTCCTTTGTCCGTCAACATTGCTACGATATTTTCGATACACACACCATAGGTATACCTACTATCATTACCGAAAGTGTCGACTGCAGATTCGCCAGTGTCTCTGCGTGACCCTGCATGATGAGATTCTCACCTTAGTCTGTAGCTCGTAGAAGAATGCATGCGAAGCTGTCAACCTTCTCTGGTAATCCGACTTTCTGCGCGTTCGTGTCACGTCGGAAGTGATGGCCTCCTCCAGTCGCCACACTACCGTGGTCTCCTTCACCAGTTGAGCTAGTACCTGTCGGATGCCGCTCACGTGCTCTCGCATCTTTAGAGTCCAAGCTATTTTTGACTTTTCAATTGGCAGTTGGACTGGTATCACACGAAGGTACCACATACCACTATTTATCACCACGAGATCGGGACATTCTAACGGTTTCTCTCGACACTCAGTCACTAGCTTTCTTAGCTTCTGCAGAAACAGCGAGTAAATGTACGGCCGCCGCCAGTACTCTGCTATAAGTACGTCATTTCTCATGGTTCTGCTGCAACTCGCCTCTTGTTGGACGCATGCGTCCCTTGTGCTGTGCTGCAGAAGCGGCTGCAGCGGACCCGGCGGGATGTCCTCGAGGCGCACGTCCCTAATGGCAGTGCCGTTTCCCAACTGGAGGAACACGCGCAGCTGCTCCGTCAGGATGCGGCTGCGAGAGTCGCCGATGACCACGAGTCTCGCCGGCCGCCGCCGCCGCGCCGCCCGCCGCCGCAGACACGCCTGGGCCTGGTCAGCGTCCAGAGAACCGGAGCGACAGCCGCCGGTGGCATGTCCTGTGCGCCGATCGACGCCGTCCAGCAGGGAGTCACTGATCCGGAAGATCTGCAAACACCTGGCTGACGGCCGCTGCACCTCTGTACTCCCTGTGGAAAGTGTCGTCGTTATTCGGACATATACTGTCCTTACAAAAATTGTCATTTTAACAAAAATATGTCAATAGGGACAGAGGTAACATTTCCAGCTTGCATAGACATTCTTAGCAGAAGAACGGCAAGCTAAGTGCTATAGGGTTATCAAAATATTAGCGAGCTCCGAGAAACTGAGAGGCATCCAGGCTAAGAACCGCGTGGGAGGTCGCGCATCCACTCCCTGAGAAAAATCCTGACTCCGCATGACACCCCCAGGGGGAGTTCACCAAAACGACACCCCAAAACTCCCAGGTGGTACTCCTCATTACACCCCCTCCAAAACTCTCCATTACACCCCAAAACTTCCCTCGAGAAACTCTCTGTAACTCTCCCTACCGTTTTAGAAAACTCTTCATTTCTCTCCTTTACCCTATCAAAACAAACAACATACTCCCTGAAACTCCCTTCCATTACTCTCAATGACTCTCTTACTGCCTCAAAATTACTCCCGATTACTCCATTCCATTATTCCCCAAAACTCCGTTTACAGCTTCATGGTATACCTCTAGTTAGTCCCCATCAAACTCACCCAAACTTCCCATCACTCCACTCCAGCCCCCCCCCCCGAAAATAAATATTGGACGAATAGCGTAACCACCCAAAGCTCGTGTACCGAAGCACAGATAAAAAAAAATATATTTCAAGAAATGTGTATTCATAGTCCGGGGCGGTGGGAGGCTTAACAAATTGACAAACGCTTCCGACATCCCGCCGCGGCACGCTCTCCGGGGATCTCACTTCATATGCTACACGGTCGCGAGTTTTGATGTAAAAAATCCAAAAGGCGGCCTACCACAGCAGGAATGCTTGGTCTGGTGGTGCCGCTACCACCTCCTGGGCCTCGACGAATACTGCGTCTTCTTCGTCCGGCTCTCCTTTCACGATGGTGGGATAGATATTTTGCGGGCCTCCGTTGGCTTCCGACGTGTCTTGCGGGATGCACTGCAGGCTCTCCAGCTCATCCCCTGCAAAATGTTAATAACCATGAAATTATACGTACACTTAACATTGCGTGGGAGGGGAGGAAATGGGTTAGAAAGAAAAAAGAGAAGGAGGAAAATAATGAAGGAGGGAGGGAGGGAAGGAGGGGAGGGATGAAGGAAGGAAGGAAGGAAGGAAGGAAGGAAGGAAGGAAGGAAGGAAGGAAGGAAGGAAGGAAGGAGGGAGGGAGGGAGGGAGGGAGGGGGAGGGGGGAGGGAGGGAAGGAAGGAAGGAAGAAAGGAAGGAAGGAAGGAAGGAAGGAAGGAAGGAGGGAGGGAGGGAGGGAGGGAGGGAGGGAGGGAAGGAAGGAAGGAAGGAAGGAAGGAAGGAAGGAAGGAAGGAAGGAAGGGAGGGAGGGACGGGGGGAGAGAGGGAGAAAAAAATGGAGAGAGAGAGAGAGAGAGAGAGAGAGAGAGAGAGAGAGAGAGAGAGAGAGAGAGAGAGAGAGAGAGAGAGAGAGAGAGAGAGAGAGAGAGGAGGGGAAGGAGGGAGTGAGGAAGGAAGCGAGGAAAGATGGAAGGAAGAAATCAGGGAGGAGACTGAGAGGTAGGCAGATGAGACAAGATGGACGAGACGAGACACACGCAACCTGACGTGTTGGCACTGATACTGCATTTCGGCACATAATGTCAAAATAATGAAAACAAGAGATTGCAAAGTTAGAATACTTTTTATGCACTACAATTTTGATAAAGTTAAGTTTCAGTGAAAGTCTAAAGGGCAAGTTATAGGGGCTAGGAAATCAAGGCTTTTATGCCAAGATAGTTTAATTTTTTGGCTCTGCTTTGAAAGCCCTTAAAATTTGATAATTGTCATTGACATGGATATTAAAACAATCGGACAATAACAAAGGATCCATGACGTGTAAAGCTTGTGTAATCCTTGCTTTCCAATTTATTCGAGGGAAATAATGTATGATATTTGCCAATACCTAGAAACTCAGAGCATGCTGTTTCCGATCTTTATCTCACTCAGGAACGAAACAAATCAATTACCCTTACTGAGACCATTCCAGCTCATCAAGAACATGGGGTTACCATATGTTCTCATCACAGCATTATAACACTTTGCACTATAAAAGCATGATGAGAAATACAGCTAAGCTTACCTTTAGATCCAAAGAAAGGTCCAATTATCCGTCACTGTATAGGTCAGGTCCGTCGAAGGCAACACGCTCTTCACTAACACCTCGCCCGCCGCCCCGCACAACGTGCTGTATACTATTTATACGCGCAAAAGATGGCGGCCACCGGCAGCCTCGCGACGTATGCTAAAACCCCTTCGTAACTCCCCTTTTACTCCTGTCGGAACGTTCGGGAAAAGTTTTTTTTCGGGAGTAATGGAGAGCTGCGTCACAGAGTTATGGGGTGTCACACATGGACACTGAGAAAAATCCTGACTCCGCATGACACCCCCAGGGGGAGTTCACCAAAACGACACCCCAAAACTCCCAGGTGGTACTCCTCATTACACCCCCTCTAAAACTCTCCATTACACCCCAAAACTTCTCTCGAGAAACTCTCTGTAACTCTGCCTACCGTTTTAGAAAACTCTTCATTACTCTCCTTTACCCTATCAAAACAAACAACATACTCCCTGAAACTCCCTTCCATTACTCTCGATGACTCTCCTACTGCCTCATAATTACTCCCGATTACTCCATTTCATGATTCCCCAAAACTCCGTTTACAGCTTCATGGTATACCTCTTGTTACTCCCCATCAAACTCATCCAAACTTCCTATCACTCCACTCAAGCCCCCCCCCCCCCCCCGAAAAAAAAAAATATTGGACGAATAGCGTAACCACCCAAAGCTCGTGTACCGAAGCACAGATAAAAAATATATTTCAAGAAATGTGTATTCATAGTCCGGGGCGGTGGGAGTATTAAAAAAATTAACAAACGCTTTCGACATCCCGCCACGGCACGCTCTCCGGGGATCTCACTCCATATATGCTTCACGGTCGCGAGTTTTGATGTTAAGAATCCAAAAGGCGGCCTACCACAGCAGGAATGCTTGGTCTGGTGGTGCCGCTACCCTACCACCTCCTGGGCCTCGACGAATACTGCGTCTTCTTCGTTCGGCTCTCCTTTCACGATGGTGGGATGGATATTTTGCTGGCCTCCGTTGGCTTCCGACGTGTCTTGCGGGATGCGCTGCAGGCTCTCCAGCTCATCCCCTGCAAAATGTTAATAACCATGAAATTATAGGTACACTTAACATTGCGTGGGAGGAAATGGAGGAGAAAGAAAAAAAGAGAAGAAGGGAAAATAATGAAGGAGAAAGGGAGGGAAGGAGGGAAGGGATGAAGGAAGGAAGGAAGGAAAACAGGAAGGAAGGGAGGGATAGAGGGAGAAAGAAAGGGAGAGAGAGGGGAGGGAAAGAGGGAGTGAGAAAGGAAGCGAGGAAAGATGGAAGGAAGAAATGAGGGAGGAGACTGAGAGGTAGGCAGATGAGACAAGATGGACGAGACGAGACATGCGACCTGACGTGACCAAGACCTGACGTTATTTTCTGGCTCTCCTTTGCAAGCCCTTCAAATTTGATATTTGTCATTGGTATAGATATTAAAATAATTGGGCAATAACAATAGGATCCATGACGGGTAAAGCTTGTGTAATCCTAACTTTCCAATTTATTCGAGGGAAATAATGTATGATATTTGTCAATACCTAGAAACTCAGAGCATGCTGTTTCCGATCTTTATCTCACTCAGGAACAATACAATCAATTACCCTTACAGAGACCATTCCAGCCCATCAAGAACATGGGGTTACCATATGTTCTCATCACAGCATTATAACACTTTGCACTATAAAAGCATGATGAGAAATACAGCTAAGCTTACCTTTAAATCCAAAGTAAGGTCCAATTATCCGTCACTGTGTATATAGGTCAGGTCCGTCTAAGTCAACACGCTCTTCACTAACACCTCGCCCGCCGCCCCGCACAACGTGCTGTGTACTACGCGCAAAAGATGGCGGCCACCGGCAGCTCATCGCGACGTATGCTAAAACCCCTTCGTAACTCCCCTTTTACTCCTGTCGGAACGTTCGGGAAAGGTTTTTCGGAAGTAATGGAGGGTTGCGTCACAGAGTTATGGGGTGTCACACATGGAGTCATTTCGCCATCCATTAAGAACTCTTGAAAACTCTTTCGCAAAATGAGGAAGGCTCGAAGTTACCCTAGAACACACTCAATAACTCTGCTGGAAAGGGAGTTATCAATGGTTTTAAGGAGTTTTTAGGGGAGCATTTTCAAGAGTTTTGACCCATATGGAGTCAATTTTTTTCTCAGTGGAGTCATTTCGTCATCCATTAAGAACTCTTGAAAACTCTTTCGCAAAATGAGGAAGGCTCAAAGTTACCCTAGAACACACTCAATAACTCTGCTGGAAAGGGTGTCATCGATGGTTTTCAGGAGTTTTCAGGGGAGCATTTTCAAGAGTTTTGACCCATATGGAGTCAATTTTTTTCTCGTGCATACCCTCTGGCAGCACTGAAACGGGGCGACTTTCCGAGTGTGGCTCATTTTGATGGAATGTTTAAAAAAATAATCTTTTAACCCTCGCCGGGCGAGGGTTTTTTTCATAACACAGACGGCGAGGGGGGGTTGATACGACCCACTCGCGATTGGCTCCTATGATACTTAGAAACGCCAAATGTGCAGGGTAGGTGCAGGTCCGTAGGAGATCTCACCGCCGTGAAAATTTGGTGATCCTATGTAGGTAGGTGAATATTTAGGGACTTTTGTGCCTTGTGGGGTATCAAGGCACAAAAGTCCCTTGTGCCTACGCAACATGATGCATTTGGGTGAAGTTATGGACTGAATTAATTAATTAATTAAATTCACTTAATTTGAGTGAATATTGTGAAGTCACTTAAACTGGAGAATGGAGATGCATAACATTTGATTCGGTTTGATTTGCTGAGTTCACTGGTGCTTTTATTTATGCTCTATCTTTACTAACCATCAAAAGAAAGAAAGTGAGAAAAATTGACTTGCTTCATACATTTATGCCCCAAAACTCCGTAGTTATTGACTTAGTGCTACTAAGTTTGCACAGGGGGGAGATATCCTATGGGTCCACCTACCGTATACATTGGTGTTTCTAAGCACTAAAGAAGCCAATTGCTGCAGCCTGCAGGGAGTCGTATGTACCCCTCCCGTCGCCTGGCCGTCCGTGTAAGGAAAAAGGTCCCGGCCTGGCGAGGGTTAAACTCCGAATACTTTTTTGAAAACTAAACAAGGAAACACACCCACAAGATGCGCACGCCCCTGAAAGGTCGTCTGCAGACGCCGCTTACCGTTCTGCCACCTCCGAAGACCATAGGCGTAGGAACAGGGGGGGGGCCAGGTGGGCAAGTGCCCACCCACTTTTCGAGGTGGGGGGGCCAACCATGTGTTTTGGCCCACCCACTTTTTACTCAAGGCCCCTCGTCTCGATTTGAGAGGACGTCGTCACCTTCCAGAATAAACAAACTCGGTAAAAATAAGTTCCACGAATCCCCACGCACGGACTCCAAGGGGCCGTGATGGATCCAAGGAGGCCCTCTGTTCATACTTGTCAGTCGAAGCCCCTGAGACTGATGACCTGAGAGGCCCTTATAATCACACCAGGCAAAAGAGGCCCATGAGACTGATGGACTGAGTGGCCCTTATAATCACACCAGGCAAAAGAGGCCCATGAGACTGATGGACTGAGAGGCCCTTCTTTTCATACTTGCCACAGGAGACCCCCAAAACTTTCGGTCTGGGAGGTCCCTCAATCCGGTACCAGTCAGAAGAATCCCCTGAGACTGATGGCCTGGCCGCCTGGGAAGCCCTTATATTCACACTAGGCAGCGGAGGCCCCTAAGACTGATGGTATGAGAGGCCCTCATATTCACACCAGTCAGAAGAGGCCCCCGAGGCTGATGGCTGTGAGGCCCTTCTGTTCATATAACTGGCCACTGGAGGCCCCTGAAACCGGTGGTCTGGGAGGGCCCTCTATCCAAACTAGTCAGAAGAGGCCCCTGAGACCGATGGTCTGAGAGGCTCTTATATTCATACTGGCCACAAGAGGCCCCTGAGACTGATAGTCAGAGAGGTCCACTCCTAATGAATCTGAGGGGGCCCTCTATCCACATTTACACTTTTCTAGGGAGGCCCCCGAGACTGATGGTCTGAGAGGCCCTTTTATTTATACTGGCCACAGGAGCCCCCTGAGATGAATGGTCTGAGAGGCTCTTCTATTTATACTAACCAGAAGAGGCCCCTAGGATTGATGGTCTAACAGGCCCTTCTATTTATACTAGCCAGAGGAGGCCCATGAGACTGATTGTCTGAGAGGCCCTTCTATTCAAACTAGGCAGATGAGGCCCCTGAGAATGATAGTCCGAAGAGCCATGCGGCGGCAACTGGCCGTGGCCATATTTCGGCTCGGTAGGGCCCCACAGAGCTCATGAGAGCACCTCAAGGGCTCCTAAGTAGACACGCTTATCCCCATAAGGATACCACGCCTGCTTCTGAAGGCTCCTTGTAGGCATCTAAGGGCCCTTTCCGGCCTCTAACGGCTCCACCCGCCTGTGATGGCTCCACACCAGTGTTAATGAGCGCCACACAGCGGCGCCTTTAAGGGTCATACTAGTGTCTCTTAGGGCCCTATATCGGTGGCTCTGGGGGCCCCACACCGGCGCCTCTGTGGGCCACCACACCTGTGCATCTCAAGGCTCTATAGGTACATCTGAAGGACCCACACGACACCTCTGAGGGCCCCACACCAGTATCTCGGAGCTCTGAAGGCCCCACACCGGTGACTCTGAGGACTCACCGGCTCCTGAGAGCACCATGTTGAAGTCTAACGGCTCCACAAGGCCACTGAAGGCACCACACAAGCTCTCACTGAGCTCTAATCTCCATGTACCGGCCTCTGAGGGATTTAAGCCAGCGCATTCATAGCTCCACACCAGCAATTGTAAGGGCTTCACACTGAAGTATCTGAGGGTTCCACACCGGTGTCTCTAAGGGCCACATACCGGCATCTCTGAGGGCCCCATACCGGCGTCTCGGAGGGTCCACATCTGGCGGGCATCCATCAGCGACTGAAGGTCCCACACTGTCGACTCCGAGAGCCCCATCTGCGTCTGGGAGCAACACGCCGTCTCTAAGAACCACAGCGGCTCCTCTGTCGAAAGATGGGCGTCTGCATGCCAAATGGGAGCGGTTCTGAGACAGTAGGGCACCTACATGCAATAGAGGGGCGCCTATGAAGCCCATAGGGGCGCCTCAATGCGAAAGAGGGGTGCCTCTGAGGCCTACATATATGGGTGTCCACATGCAATAGAGGTCTGCAAATTGCAATTGGTCAATGCCATGGGGGTGCATTCATAAGAAACAGGGGCGCCGGCATGGCAAAGAGAGGCGCCTTCAAGTATCCATAAAAGAGACGCCTATGATAAGCGCACATTGTATGCGACAACTGATGACTGTGGAACATACGAGTATAGGGATGTCTCTGATGACTATACATAGGGCGCTTATATACCAAAGAGGGCACCTATGAAGCTAATGGGGGCACCTGGGAAACGAGGAAGACATTTGTGTAAGGGTTTTCGGGGGTCATGCGCCGTTTGCGGCAAATAGATTCTAAAAAAAAGAGGGGGAGTAAGTTTTAAAAATTGTGCGGACTTTCCGCACTGTTCGCTTAAGCGGTTACGCCCCTGGGTACATCTGCCCGATCTCAGAAGCTAGATTTGGAGGTCATACTTGAAACAGTGTTGCCAGGTCTAGAGGTAAACCTCCAGATCTAGAGGTTTTAGGGGAGCGTTTCGGGGCTCCTGGAGGTTTTTGAAAAATGCCGGATTCTAGAGGGTTTTCTAGAGGTAATCTGAAAATCCCAGAAAAGACAATTAGCATCAAGGTCTCTTGAGAACTATTTAGGTACTTAATTTCATGTTATTATCTTTAAGTATTGCATGCTTAAACACACTTTTTTACAGATTGATGGAAACGATAAGCCTACTTTTGGCTTGTTCACTATTGAGGCTCTGGCCGCCGGCTGCAGCTAAAAGTTCTCGATATACCGTGGGCACCAAGGCTATGTAAACCTGGTGCCCACGGTGGGCACCAAGTCCACCAAGTTATGTTATGTGGACAAATGCAAAGGCATGCGAAGGATGAGTGAATTATCTTGATTGGGGATACAACCGGGTGTTTCCAAGCCCACTGCCAGCTGCTGCCAGCGCGCTGACGTCACACTTTGGGTCTGTTCCAGTCCCACTTCCTAACACATCTAAACTCCTCCAAGGGCAAGATAGAGGAGGTTGGAGCAGGGCCCTCCTTTGATTTGTAGGGGCTAGAGCTGACACTGGAACAGGGAAGCAATCTTGGAGGAGTTTAGAGGTGTTAGGAAGTGCGACTGGAACAGACCCTTTGGTAGTGTTGGAGCAATGGACTTGATGATGTCATCACCAGGGGCTCCGCCACGTTTTTATGATTGGGGGGGTCCGACACAGTGGCGCGGGAACTACCTTCAGACTGCGGGGGGCACACCATAATAGAGATCAACCTAGGGTACCCCCAAATCCCGTTTTCTCACCGGTTTTAGGCCATTTACTTTTCATCCCTTGGCTTACTCAACAACAACAAAAAAAAAACATTTGCAAAAAAGTGCAGTATTCCGTCTCAAAGCTGTGGAGGCACCGCCCCCACGGCCCCAGAGTTGGGGGGAGCTGCCCCCGCTGCCCCCTCCCCCCGGTTCCCGCGCCTATTATGGTCCGACAGGACAGTGCATAACCTTATATGGACTGGATCAACATGCAAAACTTTACTTAAGTACCTAGTGTAATGTTGAATAAATATATCATCAACTCATATTACTGTCAGTGCACCTATTTCTCCCGTGTTTGTAATAGCTGTTCTTCTGCTAGGACTGATACATTTCAAAATTGTAATGGAGGTACTCAGCAACGATAAAAATAAAAGTGGTTGATAATAGAAATGGAACACCAATACAAAAACGAAAATCTACAGAGCATAGCAGTTGCATTGCGAGGAACGTTCACATTGTTTGACGTCGCTTTTCATAGCGCTTAAATCCACTTGGGAGGCAGGCTCAGGAGCTGGGAGCACTCTGGAGCTCAAATGATCCAAAAGTATGCTGACGTTTGCCGTTTTTTTTAAGCAAACTGTCGGGCAAGCTTGCGGACGTCGATGCACTCGGTTGTGTCCTTGTGAATATGACAGATGGCCACAGCGTTGAGTCGTTTTTGGCTCATCGTTGAACGCAGCCATGTTTTGAGACGGCGGAGCGCACTAAAACTGCGCTCCGCCTTCGCCGTACTCGCGGGCATTGTCAGGAGCCAGGTCAGCAGAAGCCTCACTTGAGGCAGGAGCTCTCGGGCATCTTCACTGAGCCCTGAGAAACCCTCGCACGCTTCTTTGAATGTCGAAAATGGATGATTCTTGGAAAACACGCGGAGCTGCGAGAGTAGCTCGTCCACCTTCAGTTCTGGCGGCCACGAGTGCATCCGCTCCTTCGCCTCAGACACCGATGTTTGGTCATGCTGGCCCAGCAGAACTCCCTCAACGATGGCCACTTCTTTCAGCCCATCCTGGTCAAACCTATCCTTGAGATGGCTCATTGCACTGTCTAGGACCTGAAGAAACTGCACTCTCAGGTACTCAGTGAGGCCTTCGGGCTGGTGATGAACTCTTGAATGCTTTGAATTTAATTATTTGTTAGAACGAAATACTGAAAACAGACCAAAAAAAAAAAAAAATCCGCGGTTAAACTTTTTTTAAGTTCTTTCTTTAAAGAGAATAAAAGCAAAAGTTGAGATAAGTACATGGATTATTGGGGGGGTCTGTACCCCACACCAAAATTATTGGGGGGGTCCGGACCCCCCCGACCCCCCCTGTGGCGGAGCCCCTTCATCACGCGCTAGCAGCGGATGGCAGCGTGCTTTGAAACGGCGCCACGGTTTGTGATACGGAGGTAGGTATGGAGGTAGGTATATATACTTTATAATCAGCGGCAATGGAACAGAGGTTTTTAGAGGTTTTTACAACATTTTCTGGAGGTATTGGCATCACTCGACCTGGCAACACTGACTTGAAAGCAGCCAGCAGGACGAGGCAAAAGTTGGAGGCCCCTGAAAATAGGAGGCCCCCTGGAAAAGGAGGCCCCTCGACAGGGTGGCCCACCCACTTTTCATGACGTTCCTACGCCCGTGCCGAAGACCATAGAGTGCGACCAGCACGGTCAGGAGTGCGCCGGCAGTCCCGAGGCGTCGGCACCAGCGGGTCACCGCCGTGGGGCTGGCACCAGCCAGGTGCCACGCCATGGCCG